GGTAGGATGTCGCATTCTATCTCACTGAACACTTCAGCCAAGTCTCAATATTCACTGGGAATGAGAGACACTCCTGGCAGGGGATTTGCCACCACCAAGTTGATCATCAACAGATCAAGAAAACTGACACATTCCATGAATGGAAGTCTTATGACTATTATTGAAAAGAAGGGTGGCTATATTGGTCATTGTTGTTGTTTTTTTTTTGAAATGTCAGAAATGTTTATTTGTACATTTTGAATTGGTTGTTTATTATTCCCATTTTAACAAATACAAATAAACAAGTGAGATGAGCAAATTTTCATTTTTCATTTAGTTGTATAATAATTCTGCACACTAATAGTTGCCCAATAATTCTGCACACATATTCTCCTAAGAAAGCCAACCTCACTTTTACTTTCTTAAATATTCAGGTTTTAGGTTTATTAATATTTTGGGTTGACCAAGAGCACTGTAGTTATTCAATAAAAAAATTAATCATTCAGAATACAACTTGCCTAATAATTGTGCCCACAGTGTAGTTATCAAGGTAGGCAAACTGGATTATCTTGAGTCTTTGTCTAGAAAATTTTAAATATAATAAGGAAACAGTAAAAAGCAGCACCCAAGTAAAACAGTATCTATACAAAGGTATTACTTTTCTGAGGGGGGGGAACCCCATCTACTTTTACCTAAAGACTAGTGTGAATTTTGTTTGTGAATTCATTTACACATTGTTTTTAGCATTTCCCCATAAGTTTTAAAAGATAATAGTATATTTACAGAAAATGCCATATCAATTCTTTGAAGTAAGATAAATTCTACCACTAAGTGGTATTTGGCTATAAGTTTCATAAATGGATTTTAAAGTAGTGCATACATGCATATTTATAGTATTTATGATCAAAGACAAATTTAGAAAACACTGTTAAAATCTAACAAGAGTTCTTTCCATCCAATGTATGTTCAATAAGCTATTGTCATATTTTCTGAATGAACATACCAGAAGTAAAATGCCATAAAATTCATATAAATTCACTTTATCTGCCCAGATAATCCAGCACTATAGAGCTGAATTTTAAAGGAATATTACTAAGCAGAACCACACCCTACACCTAGGACTTTGCACCTTCTTTCACTTTTATCTAGGGAAAATATTTAGATAATCACATTTATACATAAAGTTAAATATATTACATTCTGTCCCACAGCATTAAGCATCCTACATTTAGCTACATATATATGTATAGGAAATCAAGGCGAAACATTAAGAAATTAAGAATTTCGTGAAATAAAGACTGGTTTCAAAATAGCTCAACTCTAAAGCTCATTTGAATCAACAAGAAATGCCAGCTCAAAAAATACAATAGTTTATTGCAAAAAAATAAAAATGTCTTGAAAAATTTATAAATACACAGCATCAAGCAAAAATATTCTTATTTATAATAGAGTTTCTCCCTAACTTTTGGAGGTAATGCTTTAAAAGGCAAAAAGTATCATTTTCTTTGCCTAATATGCAAAGAAAAACTTTGCATATTAGGCAAAGAAACTAATTAGTGGATTAGTGGAAACTAATCAAGGAGAGAAGCAACCTAGAACTAAGGAGAAACTTCCTGACAGTGAGAACAATTAATCAGTGGAACAGCCTGCCTCCAGAAGCAGTAAATGCTGCAACACTGGAAGTTTTTAAGAAGAGACTGGACAGCCATTTGTCCAAAATGGTGTAGGGTTTCCTGCCTGAGCAGGGGGTTGTACTAGATGACCTCCAAGGTCCCTTCCAACTTTACTACTATTACTATTACTATTACTATATGACAATGGTTCTCAACCTGTGGGTCGGGACCCCATTTGGGGTCGAACGACCATTTCACAGGGGTCGCCAAACAAGGCTGTCCGCCATTTTTTCCCCCTTTTCTTTGGCCACGCCCCTGGCACCCGGTGATGTATAAGTGGCTGGGGGTCACCACAACATGGGGAACTGTATTATGGGGTCGCGGCATTAGAAAGGTTGAGAACCACTGCTATATGACATACTAACACTTATTAGTTATGAGAAATTAAGATGATCAAACTAACTGTTTTGTAACATTAGTTAATGTTGAAAAACTATGCTTTAACATGCTTGAAAAAAATTAACAAGGCTTCATAAATAGATGACTGACATATGATATATAATCCAACACAGTTGAGTTTTTGCCAGCTTTGTCTTCTATGTCTTCCATTTTTCTTATATTGTCTGCCTTTTTTTTCAGGCATCAGGGTTTTCTGCAATAGCTCTTCCTTTCATATTATGGATCCAAAACATAATTAGGCAGCAGTCTGTTTTACTTCATTTGGAATAATCCACTTTACTTGCAATTCCAGTGTTTCTCAACAATTTTCCCCAAGATCTCAATGTAAAGGCACCAATTTTTCTTCATTCAGTTTGTCTGATGGGCTAGGTTTCATAGTCATATGTTAAAATTTGGAAAACCATAGCCTTAACAATATGTGCCTTTGCTGTTTGCATGATATCTCTACAATAATACTTTGTTTAGAACTTTTTTCATTTTTCTCAAGTAATAGACTTTTCTTTACATTATAGCTACAGTCACCATTCTCAAGCCTACTAAAATCTATTACTACTTCAATTAATTCTCTGCCTATTTGCCTTGGGTTGGCATTGTTTTTTGACATCTTGAAGGTTTTTTGAGTAGCAGATCATTACTTTCATATTTTAAAAGCCATTAAGTGGTATTATGAAAATATTTCAGGGTAAAGATGATTGTTCCAACAATTTAAAATCCAATTTGTATTTCTTTTTCTATTGTGGATTTTTCTTATTGGTCTCATCTTCAGTAATGTCATGAATTTCAGTCTAGAGTTCTTCATGTGTTTTTGTGCTTGAAGGGTTAAGATGGCTGTATGGACATTCTTGTTTAATGTTATAAGAACAAGCTCTGTCTAAGTGCAGGACAGCAACCTTTTATACATAATGCAAAGATTATCAATCCTAACAAGATTTGGATTCATCCAAATCATTAACCAGCTTGTAAAGTTTTGGCTGAGTATGCAGTATATAGCCAATCATTGTAGCTATAGATCGGGGCTTGTGATTTAGCAAGTCATATACCTCAACAAATTAAGGCTTAGCACAATATGTTCCTACTGAAAACTCTTAGGCTGTAAAGATCTGCCTTTAGCACTGGCTACAAAAGTCTATTTGGCTGTAGCCAAGGTTCTGAATGTCTCAAACTCTATTCCTGAATTTACAGTAAGGGAAAATCTTCTGTCTTGAGAAGCCAATAGGCTGAATTCAAGTATGGAGTTACTAAATCTTGGCTCATCCTTACTGACAAACCTTAAAGGACTGTGACATCATTCAGTTTGAAGAGGGCCCACCAAAAACTTTGATCATCTTAGGAGTCACCACCAAACAAAACAGGGTGAATAGCCACAAGAGAGGACTTTCTCGACTTCAAAGACTTGTTTGTGCTATACTTTTCCAAGGGGACGCACGTACAGCCATTAAACATGTTTAGCAAAGTGTATACAAAATACATTTTATTTGGCAATGGTAAAATAATTAGGTTATTGTAACTAATAGGTTATTTAAAAAGCTTACTTGCTTCCTCCAAGGAATATGTATCATATTGGCAACCATGTTATGAGAAGTGAGTCTGTTTCCCATTTACATTTTAGGAAAAACTGCTTAGATGCTAGAACTAAGTTGCAGCAATGTATTAAAGAGAATGACAAAACTGGATAATGGAGTAAAATACACACAGAGGTTCATTCCACTTTAAACTAGCACCTGCCTATTTTTCAGCCTACTTGTAGTCCTTATAAAGTTTAATCTATAGTAGATTAACCCTACACCTACGGGGAATTCATGCTACAAAAAAAAGTTGAAGCATTACCTTTACTTCCCAAAATATTACTTCATTGCATGAATGTGGCAAACATGCCCTTAACAATAAGCTTTAAATAATGTGCATGCATTAAGTTTACTATAGAAAAACACTTTATGTTTAAGACTAATAGGTAAAGTTCAAGTGTCTCTAAAATAAGTTCCATGTAGCAAAGACTTCAAGAGTTAAGGAAGTTTTGATTATTATACTGAGTTATTTACATATTTTCCAATACAAATATTTGTGGCTAAAATCTTTTCAACTAAATCCCTTAAAGCAGAATTGAAAACTGAAACCTTTTGTAGCTCAGCCCCTTCTTCCTGTGATGTTATCATGTAAGTTAAGTAAGCATGGGTAGGGCTTTTTGTTTAATCTTCTCTGTAGACAGAAATGCGTAATAGCAGAGTAACATCTAAGGGGAGAGCTGAAATTCAGCAAGAAAGGACATGCTTCGGAATTTTATTCCATTATACAGTTCAACAACAAGAAGACTGAAAACTGCAACACAGTGGTGAAACCTCAACCTCTATTTTCCCAGAAGTTTCAAAATTACTTAAGTTCTCATAGGATTTATTTGTATTTTTTTTTTATTTGCTGTATTTTTCCAGTGAATGGGAAAGAGCAATCTCAACATTTGAAGAAATTAGATTTTGGATTTTAATTAATTTAAAGGATGATGTTCCTTATTTCTGAAATTTACTACTGTCTAGATTTGTGAACATGAACAACTAATATTTTTGGAAGAAAGGAATGACATACTGATAAGTAGAACTGTGACTTACTGAACTATGAAAATTTCAAATAATGTGGACCCAAGTGAAAGGAAAGACTAGATTTATAAACCAACCGAGGATTTACCACAACTATAACAAAGGTACAGGCTTACTGAGAAATTCTGTAATTATAAATAATTGTCATTATGGTGGCAAATTCCAATTGTACTATTCAAGACTCATTTAAATATACTTTATATGGCTGTGTGTTTAGTATGGTATTTGTCCTTGGTTTAATATCAAACTGTGTTGCTATTTACATCTTTACTTGGACACTAAAAATCAGAAATGAAACTACAACTTACATGCTTAATTTAGCAATATCAGATCTCCTTTTTGTGTTTACATTACCATTCAGGATTTACTCTTTTGCATCAAAAAACTGGCCATTTGGAGATGTACTATGCAAGATTTCTGTCACACTATTTTATACAAACATGTATGGGAGCATTTTATTTTTAACCAGTATCAGCGTTGACCGTTTTTTAGCAATTGTATATCCATTTCAGTCAAAGACAATCAGAACAAAAAGAAATGCAAAGATCATCTGCATTATAATTTGGATAATTGTGACAACAGGAAGTATACCAGCAAGCTTCTTTCAATCCACCAATGCTCGTGTTAGTTCTGAAGGATGGACACACAATACATGTTTTGAACACTTTTCTGAAAAAACTTGGAAAACTTATCTTTCAAGAATTATTATTTTCATCGAAACAGTAGGCTTTTTTATTCCTCTCATACTGAATGTGACATGCTCTGCAATAGTTATAAGGACATTAAATAAGCCAATTACAATGACCAGGAATAAATTAAGTAAAAAAAAAGTTCTACGAATGATACTCGTTCACTTACTGATTTTCTGTTTCTGCTTTATTCCGTATAACATCACCCTAATTTTTTATGCCCTCATGAGAACACAAGCCTGGATTAATTGTTCAGTTGTTACTGCTGTTAGAGTTATGTATCCAATCACTCTATGTATTGCTGTTTCAAACTGTTGTTTTGACCCTATAGTATATTATTTTATTTCAAGTAGTATTCAAAATTCAATAAAAATGAAAACTTCATCAACTAGAAAACAGAGATTTCCTGAAACTCAAGTTTCTGATATTCAAGTTAGATTCCAAGCCTTAAAAGCAAGAGTACTGGATACTGAATCTATCATATAAATGGTATTGACAGATTTAGAAAATAGAATGTTTAAGCTATAAATATTCTTCTTGTTTCTACAAATATAAGAGATTATATTGAATTTAAAACTTGTGAATTTTAAACACTATTTTTAATCTGTAAGTCATTGTTTCCTGAAATTTATATTATCAAATTAGAAAAATATTCCATCTGTTTGGATTAAAAAAAAACTTTTTATTATTCAATGTTGTAGGAAAAGGAGGTGTTAGAATAAAGACCTAATAGGTTTCCTTATTATACAATAAATTGTTTTCTTTTTATGTTACTAGTATCAATATTAACATCATTGACTTTAATATTTTACTATTTTATTCAAAGATATTGAAAAGACTGTGGAACTGTATAATAAATTCTACCATGTAAAAGTGGAAGAGAAGTAATTTATGGTGATTATTTACCAGACTGAGCCTTGGTAAAATCTATTTGAATTATGAAGTATTAAATGTAAGTTTCAACTATCCCATGGTATTAACAAATTCTAAGTGAGATATTATTATCTCCAAAATTTTGGTGATAGTTAAAAAAATTCCTACTGTGAACGAGAAAACAATATTTGCATAGTTTTTAGACAGAATATTATGAGATTTTCAGATACATTTTAAGGAAGTATGTTAGTTAATTGCAGCAAAAAACTGGAATTATATTGTACCTTAGGAGTCCCCAATCTCTATTTGGAATTGGACCGCACGAGTGGCTGGCTGGCACACGCACGCATGCATGCAGCTCAACTTGTATGAGCGGGGGGGGGGGAGGTGGCAGGCAATTGCACGTATGCACGCCAACTCACCACTCGCACTGCCCAGTTCCCCTCTCCCCTCCAACTGGACTGCCAACCTCCAGAGGCTGTGGACCTCTGCCTTAGAAAGATACATAAATGCATCTTTCTGAGTAGATAACTTGTGATATTCTTGAACTGTTTCAGCTAGTAATAATAAGGAACAATTAATACACTAAGTTCACAACATAAGATGTTCATTTAGTTTTAGCTTAAAATATGAATCTAGTTATACAGGTAGTCCTCAACTTATGATAATTGACCCCAAAATTTCTGTTGCTAAGCAAGACAGTTGTTAAGTGAATTTTGCCCCATTTTATGATCTTTCTTGCCATAGTTGTTAAGTGAATCACTGCAGTTGTTATGTCAGTAACATGGTTGTTAATGTTGCTTCCCCATTGACTTCGCTTGTCAGAGCGTCACAAAAGGTGTTCAGCTGAGCCCAGGAGACTGCAACCATCATAAATACATGCCAGTTGCCAAGTGTCTGAATTTTGGTCATGTGATGATGGGGATGCCGCAAAGGTCATAAGTGTAAACAAAAGTTATAAGTACCTTGCTAATTGTGCTTATTCAGCAATCCATAATTTTAAAAAATGATATAAGTGAGTAAACTCTATTGTCAGATTCTATTTTTTTTTCTTCTGATCTATACTTTACATATTTGTTCCCTTTAATTTTCTGTTTAGTTCTATTTGTCTTTAAAAGGTAGCTATGAGACCTTAGATCAGTGGTTCTCAACCTGTGGGTCGGGACCCCATTTGGGGTCGAACAACCATTTCACGGGGGTCGCCAAACAACACAGTCCGCAATTTTTTCCCCTTTTCCTTAGCTGTGCTACTCCCTTTTATTCTATTGGCTTTTGAAAGCCAATAGAATAGTCTCTCTTGAATAGAGTCTAATTCTATTGGCTTTCAAAAGCCAATAGGAATTGTCCAGGCTGTCTCTGCCCTGCTGAGCCCGCCAAAAGTCCCATTCTGCAAATGGTGCTGCAAGTTGTCTGCAGCGAAGGCGAGTTATCTGGAAGTTTCCACCCCTCCCTGCTGAGCAACTACTAAAAATGTAAGTAAAAGAGGGCCAGGGGTGGGAGGTGGGAGGCCGGCGGGCGCAGGGAGGGTTGCTGGCGCGCGTGGGGCTGGCGGGTGCCTTACCTCCCTTGGGCTGGGCCAGCTGGTGGCCCAGCCAGTGGTCGGCCTGCACCGTCTCTGCCGCTTGCCAGCTACGCCTCGGCCAGCACAGGGGACGGCACCACACATGCGCGGTGCTCCCGGGCAGGGAAAGTCCTCGACTTATGACCGGTTGGGTAGTCATCAACTTACAACCGGTTGGGTAGTCCTCGACTTACGACCGGTTGGGGGTTGCGGCAGTAAAAAGGTTGAGAACCACTGCCTTAGATGGATTTTATATATTTGTTGGAACTAACACATCCTTTAAATTGCACAATTTGACTTGGAAACTATTATCTTGAGCAACCATTAATTGCTCAGCAACTTCTACCAGAAAAATAAACTACGTCACCTTAAATTACTGTACAGACAATAATCAGTTGGTTTAATATTCTCAGTGATTTTAGAGGTTCAGTTGCCTGCAGAAAATTTTACAACAATCAAATCATAGTCAAATTAATAGCTGTATCTTAACTATGAAAAAAGACTGCATCGGGAATAAGTAAAATTGGCGCATAATTCTCAACTGGAGAAAGGCACCTCTGGCCAATATGAAAACTAGTAAATTAGGAATATATTAATATCCTCAACTCAAAGGCAAAATGTGCAAAAAATCACCTTCACATAAAGCTATGTCCAAGGCTGAGGAAATCATTCAAAAGAGATGTTTCCAACATGTAGAAACACATGACTCTTTTTAATTAATTAAAGCAACAATTTTATTTACAAGGCCCACACAATTCTTTTGGAAGCTACACTCAGTTTGTCTCTGCGTGTATGTGCCTGCAAAGTCACTTCTTAGTTAGGAGCAACAAGAGCTTTCAACCTCAAGAGCTGGCCTCCAGCAACCTGCCATTTTAATTCCACATAACCCTCTGGGCCTCCCAGGAACCCAGCATATTTCTTAGAAAATAAATATAGCACGTGGCAATGAGCCAGACTTTACTTTGAAATATTTCTAGTTGCGTGGATATGGAAGGGGGTAGAGTAATTATAGCAAAATATCACAGGAAAGCTTTAGGTTGGACAATACTACAACTATATTGTAGAAGTCACAGAGTGTGTTTATTTACATAAACATTAAGATAGCTTCTGTAAGCTATTTTAATTATTCCTTGTTATGTGTATTTTACTTATTTTTTGGGGGGAGACAAGGGACTTTAGGATTCTAAGCATGATTTTTTCCTATGCATGCCAAGATTTTTTTCTTATGATTCAATTCACCAGAACACAGAAGTTCTCTAGTTCATCATGAGGGTTGGGGAGTTCTGGGAGTTGAAAATCCATATATTTTAAAATTGCCAAGTTTCAGAAAGTTTCTCAAATTAGTATTAAATTGTCTCTGCTAATAGTTATTATTACAAATTCTGAGCAGTATCTTGTAAATAATGTTCCAAAATATGCAAATCTAATGTATTCATTCATTCATGGGTTTCCAATTGTTTGTTTTTTTAATTTTTAATCTGTTACTCTAAAAAATTAGCTTTTTTCTCCAAACTTCTCTTAACCTTCTGTATGTTTGTGTCTATTTAAATATATAAAATTATTTCATGCATACACACATATAAGCACACACACATTTATCAGAAATTAATTTCCCGCATTCTATTATTTTTGTCAGAACCACTTGAGGCAGTCTCACCACTAAAGCAGAACTCCTGGCTTCCATGATGACAAGCATATGATCTAGTTCTGCACAAGATAATATCAACCTGCCTCCAGAAGTGGTGAATGCTCTAACACTGGAAGTTTTTAAGAAGACACTGGACAGCCATTTGTCTGAAATGATATAGGGCTGTGGTGGTGAACCTATGGCACTGTCGCCCCAGTCCTAGGCCTTCAAATGGGTTTTATAAAACCTTTTTCGCTTTGGGCCTCTGCCACCATGTGCAAAAAAAAAAAAAAAAAAAAAAAGTTCAATCAATCAATTTCAACTTCTCGCAGGGGAAAAAAGATCTTGCAAAGTTGGGATTGATTAAACTTTTTAGTCCCACCCAGTTTGCCATTACCACCGCAGCCACACCCATCCAATGGGCCATGCCCACCCAATGGGCCACCCCTACCCGGTACCCAACAATATATAGGTGGATTTTGGGCTGCCGTTTGGGCACTCAGTCTCTAAAAGGTTCGCCATCACTGGTATAGGGTTTCCTCCCTGAGCAGGGGGTTGGACTAGATGACCTCCAGGTCCCTTCCAACATCATCATCATCATTATTATTATAAGCTCAGATAGAGGAATGAGTGGTCCTTAGCAAAATTAAAGAGACGGTTGCAATAGAAGTTCAAGGAGGAAAAGATTATGAACTTTCAGAATAATACTTGGTTAGCTTGGTTGGTCCAATATCTCAGGGGCTGCCACAAAGAAGAGGAAATCAAGCTGTTCTCCAAAGCACTTGAGGGCAGAACAAGAAGCAATGGATGGAAACCAAGGAGAGAAGCAACCTGGAACTAAGGAGAAACTTCCTGACAATTAGAACAATTAATCAGTGGAACAACTTCACTCCAGAAGTTGTGAGTGTTCCAACACTGGAAGTTTTTAAGAAGAGACTGGACAACCATTTGTCTGAAATGGTGTAGGGTTTCCTGCCTGAGCAGGGGGTTGGACTAGATGACCTCCAAGGTCCCTTCCAACTCTATTATCGTCATCATCATCATCATCATCATCTACGGGAAACATGGCTTTCTATAACAGTGTCTTACTGTTGAAGGCTATTATAGGTAGTCCTCAACTTATGAACACAATTAAGCCCAAAATTTCTGTTACTAAGTAAGACATTTGTTAATTGAGTTTTGCCCCATTTTACTACTTTTCTCACCACAGTTGTTAAGTGAATCACTGCCATTAAGTTAGTAACACAGTTGTTAAGCGAATTTGTTTTCCCCATTGACTTTGCTTGTCAATGGGGAAGGGCGGACAAGGTGATCGCATGACTCCAAGTCACTGCAATCATCATAAATATGAGTCACTTGCCAAGCACCTGAATTTTACCACAGGACCATGAAGATGCCACAATTGTTGCTGAGTGTAACAATGGTCGTAAGTCACTTTTTACAGTGCCATTTAACTTTGAATCATCACTAAATGAACTGTTGTAAGTCAAGGACCACCTCCACTTGTATTCAAAAACTCATTTTCCAGATGCATAACTGTACCCTTGTAGCAGATTTATCTGCCTACTTTATCATTGGAAGCAAGATTCCTTTATTGCAAGACGCTAATAGGTAGAATTTTAATAGGGTCTAGTAACATGAAGATTCCTTATTTAATCTGTCTCATCATCTGATGTGAATACATTTAAAAACAAGATCAGTATAGAAGATAGGCCTGTATCTCAGCATCTTGAGCATTTAAAAAATTATGTAGGCATCTAATACTTAAAACTTATATAAAATATAAATAAAATAAAGCTTTCCAAGATTAATTGAAATATCTTAGAAAGCACTAAAGAGAGAGAAACTCTGAATGCCACTTGCATCCTTGTGAAAGCTGAGAATGCTTGCCAGGTTCACTGTGCTAGCGTCCTGCCATTCAGTTGGTGGGGAGGAGGAAAGTTGCTGGCATTCTTCACATGCATTCGCTTTTGCTGTAACCGCTTGGGAATTAGGGAAGAGAATTATCTTAGAGATGAAGCAGACTCCTTCCCAGAGGGTTCCAGCCTGGTTCCAAGGCTGTTGTGCCCTGTGGGTAAACTGTTATCTACCCAGCACCTCAGTGTTCTCAAAACAACCCTGCGGCATCACAACTGGCTCCTGGTTGACTGGACAGGGGGGTTGGGTTTGGGAAGACAAAAGAATTACTTTGTGCTTCGCGCAGGACTTTCAGATTCTGCCTGATTTTTCTGTATCCACTTTATCTCAATAAACGTTTTTAAACTCAATAGAGTCAAGAGTTTTACTTTCCTAAGGGAACAGCTGGGCAGGTCCTTACAATGCTCTTGATTAAATGTTACAAATCAGTTTCTGAAATGGACGATTAAGCATGCCTTCAACACTGAAAAGAAGCTTAAATTAGGCTGAGAGACTTGGGGAGGGGGGTTTACAGGTAGTCCCTGAGTTACGAATGTTCACTTAGCAAATGTTCAAAGTTACAACATCCCCCACCAAAAATACTTACAACTGGGTCCCAAAATTATGTATCTAGCAACATTGCAGCAGTTGTTCGCACTTACAAATGACCGCAGAGATGCTGCAATATCCTATTTTGGTGCCACATCTGAGAATCCTGAACTGCTCACACTTGCCTCCTGCGTAGCATTGAGTGCCAGAGCCCTTGTTGAGCCAGGCAGAGAAATGCCGGGCCAGCCTCTCCCCTTCCCTGCCGAGGTCCAGTTTCTCACAAGCGGGTGCAACCCTGCTCGCCACTTGCTGGAGTGTCAAACCTGCCCGGGTTTCACAAATTTTGTGGCCATAGAGCTGGAGAGCTTGGCGTGCCACCACTCTGCTCCCCTTGCTTGCCAAAAGCACTAATTCCTTTTCCAAATTGCAAGAAGAGCTCCTAAATAATCCGTTCTGTTTCTCTGCTGCGTTTCTCCGCCACTGCAGAGCTGGAGAGCTTGGCGCGCTATCGCCCAGTTCACCTCACTTCGTAGCACGTGCTCCTTTTTGGACGCGAGTGGGAAGAAACCACCCAGAGGAAGCTGGCTGCTCCTGTCTAGCTTCTAGATTGGAAGGAAGAGGCTTGGCCGGCCAGGTTCTGCCTGCCCTCCCCTTGCTGCAAGATCTACTGAACGGAGACTTTGCACAGGTGCGGGGCGCGGCAATGCCTTTGCAGCTTTGCATAGCACACGTTGGCAGAACCAGCTTTCCACTCATTGCAAGCATGAGTCTGGAATCCCATTCACGGCCTCAGCCCCTAACCTGGAACTGGAAACAGCCCAAGGAGGACAGGAGGCTGACCTCAAATGTTTGGGCAAAGCTCCTCTTTGCACTCTGTTTAATCCTGGTTCCCCTCCAAGCAAGAATGGAATGGGAATTAACTTCCATTTCCTGACAGCTGCAGGGAAACAAAATAAGTTTGTGGGATTAAAAAAAAAGTTCAATCAAAACTTCCAACCTCACGATGGAAGTTATTGCACGTAATGACTTGCGCATTCGATTAGCGAATGCGTGGGCAAAAGCAGGGAGTGATTGAATTTGAGTTACGCCATTCACTCCTACAAATTCTCAGGTTAGGAATGTAATTGACAGGCTCCATTACATTCGTAACTTGAGGACTACATGTATAGGAGCATCTGTAGGATGGTTTTATCAATATAATAGTAGCTAAGGATTAGTTGTATAATTAAAACACTTGTGAGTACAGCTAAAACCAGAAAATCTTGATATATTCTGTGGAAATCACTTAGTATCCTTTTTTTTTACTGCAGCTTTGATTAGAGTTAAAACAATGTTTGATAACCATGACTATCTGAATACATTTGGACTGAACACTTTCAGAAGTAATTAAGCACAGGAATAGAAAATCTGTAAACTGTGAAATTGTAATACTGTTATTACCATAAATAATTAAGTCTCTGAAACAGTAGACCAGCAATCTCCAACCGTTCCGGTTTTGTGGACCAATGGGGGGGGGAAGGGGATGATTCTGTGCAAGCGGCAGGCGAGCATGTGCAGCTCTATTTGCACAAATGGAGTTACGTGTGCATCTTGTTCTCCTGCTTCACACTCAAGTGGATCTGTGTGCGTGCGCTCGCACTCACTTGCCACTTCCGCAGCCTGGCTCTGAACGGGATGTGGCCCAGTAGTGGGCCACAGCCCAAGGGTTGGGGACCCCTGCAGTAGACCACTACGGAAATAGTAAGATTTTTAAAAATCCTATTTACTTCTTTTAGGACTTCCAAAGTGCTGAATTTACCCTCTTAGTCGTTTTGGTCCCCTTCCAGGTAAAACAGTCATCTTTTAATTGCTTTAATGCTTAACTACAAAGTAGAAAACTCATGTTTTGTCCTTCATTTAATGATGCTGGTCTACAACAAAAATAAAAATTTATTGATTTATTTTGTCCTTTAGTTTACAAGTAGTCCTTGGCTTACAACAGTTCATTTAGTGACTATTCAATGTTTCAATGGCATTGAAAAAGTGATTTATGACCATTTTTCAGTTACAACTTTTGTTAGCATCCCCATGATCATGTGATCAAAATTCAGATGCTTGGCAACTGGTTCATACTTATGACGGCTCTAGTGTCCCGGGGTTATGAGATCACCTTTTGCAACCTTCTGACAAGCAAAGCAAAGGAAGCCAGATTAGCTTAACAAATGGGTTACTAACTTAACAACTGCAGTGATTCACTTACTAACTGTGGCAAGAAAAGCGATAAAATGGGGCAAAACTCACTTAACAAATGTCTCACTTAACAACAGAAATGTTGGGCTCAATTGTGGTCATAAGTTGAGAACCACCTGAATTACTGTGCGGTGATACACCATGGTTCTGAAGTTGACAAAACAGAGAACCCAAGAATTGTCCCCCCACTTATAATATTAGATAAGCAAAGATATTCTGTTTATAAGGTAGATGGAGTTGACCAATTTTCATTTTTCAATATTATTTAAACAACCCAATACTGGTTTCTAGAAGTGAGTTACGCCCTGCCTTTTTTCCCCAAAACAATAAACTAAAATTAAAGAATAAACTTACATTTGGTTTTTTTTAGTCATGGTCTTTGAAATCTAATGAAGATATTTTTCTTTTTCCCCTTTACATTGTTTTTAAATTCAAATTTTGTGTAACTGACCTATAACAAAGACAGGGGACAGAGGGAGTATGTAAAGGCATAGGTAGGATGCCCTAAAGAAGACCAATACTGAACTGACAAGAAAAGATAAATACTTCTATCCTGTTCAAATTGCTCTTTTTTTTAATAACCTTCCAATTCACTCTAAGGAGCAGTTGCAAATCCAACAACCAATCTGTATCCAAACACTGTAGAGAAGCAAAACTATTATAAATGAACAGAAAATGCCTTGGAATGTAGGTCTTCAAAACTAGTCTTCACAATTTAAAAAGTATTGTGTGTTCTACTGGGGAAATGGGTATCACTTCAACTCCTACCTCACTTAGACTATAAAATTGCCCTAGTGTAAATTCAAAGTTCACCCAATAAACTATACAATACAAATAATTTTATGGAACACAGACCTACCAATACCATGTTGTTATATGTTTAGAAAACAACTTACTGATTGCCATGCAAGGGATTCCATAATTTTGTGTTCACAGCCCTCCAGGTGTTTTATCATCTCTCTGGTCAAGCTTGGTTCTGCTTTAATGAAGCTTTCAACAATCATGTATAATTCAAAGGCTTTCAAATCCAGGATGTTGATGATCCATGGAAAAGACAAGTCTGTCTCTATCTTCATGCTCTGTGAAGCATTTCTTGAAGCTTAGGAAAACACAACTAATTAATTTGGAGCAACAAAGTCATGTATAAAATTGTTACACTAAGGTGAGTTATTACAAGACTTTACATTTAAAATAACATTTTAAAGATGGCAGATCCTCTATCACAGAAAATGCTTTGGGAAAAGAAGTTTGTCCCAGGAATGGCTGCTTGATAATGCTTCTAGTTAATTTGAACTTACTGCCATATGTAGCCATGACTAGCTCAAGAGCACAAGCCAGCAGAGAGATGTGGAAGATGTCATTGTTCAAGAGTTTGCTGTAAAAAAAACCAGCATACCTCAGTAATAACTTTTTATCATAAAAGCATTCTAAAACAGTTTTACAAAGTAGAGATATCTAAATGTAAACATACCTAAAATTATGAACTGACAGACGTTGTTCTTCCTGTAACAGATATATAACTAAAACTTTAGCATAGCATTTTACAAAGCTAACATTTAGAGTATTATAAAAAATAATATACTGAAAACATACCGACTTTAATAAGGATTCCATCACTCTATAGTATAACCTTACTCCAATTTTGTATCTCTGAAATAGCAAATAAAATATTATTTTGCAAGTGAAACATAATGCTACGAATACAAATTATTTAATCTCTTTTGTCAATTTTTGTGGAACAATTTAATTATACAGTACTACTTTAAAAAGTCTATTATGGCTAGCATCTAAAAATTTAAAAAATAGAATATGCCTATACAAAAAATCATACACAATACCATGACTTTTATAACACATATTATCTTATGACCTAAGAAATACTTCAGTATATAACATACTATTGGAAATATATTACAAGGAACTTTAAACTTTTCTTTGAGTAAAGTGCTAAATTTGCTTTTATCCTTTTATCTCTTTTATACTGCTCCAAAAAAATAAAAAATACATGCCACATATTTGCATGATATCCCTTCATGGGAATGTACCCAAAGCTATTGAAGAGAGCTATGTATTTAAAATATTAATCTTAGTGATATTTTGCAAAACCTATGTTAATTAACTTGAGAATTAGACAGAGACTCTTAGAAAAAGGTGGTCACTCAGGTAACTGAGTCCCAAATCATATGGGACAACCAGCACCTTGAATTGCAAGAACAGGGCAGGATTAGTAAGTATCACGCGGGCACTAGCCCCGCCCTGTCTGTGTTGCACGCAGCCCCGTACATGCACATGCGCACACACGCTCTTAAAATACTTCCCCCTCCCTTTCCTTCCGGTCCGCCAACCAAGAAAGGTTGGGGACCTCTGACATAGAGTACATTGCAATAATCTAAATGAGTGGTTACGAGGGCATGAGTAATAGTGAGCAGGGCCTACGAGTTCAGGAATGGGCACAGCTAGTGCGCTACTCAAGGTATACAAAATCTCTCCTAGGCACAGTCACCACCTGCTCTTTAAGCAGGAGCCATGAGTCTAGGACAGTGATGGCAAACCTTTTAGAGACCGAGTGCCCAAACCGCAACCCAAAACCCACTTATTTATCGCAAAGTGCCAGGGCCGCATCAGCATAGTGGTGCCCTCATGGGGGGGCAGGGAGGCGCCTCTGAGTGCCACCTCTGGCACGCAAAACCCGGGGGCACAAAAATCCGGAGCGAGAAGATAGGAAGAAGGGGAGAAGTAAGTAGGAAGGTTGAGAAGGAGGAGAGGGGGAGAGTGAGGAAGAAGAGAGAAAGAGGGAAGTAGGTTAGAGGGTGGATGCAGTTTGGGGGGAAATGGGTGAGCAATACCGAAAGTTGTGTGTATCAATTTATTTTATTTTTTATCTGAAGTATTTTTATGAATGTAATGTATTGCAAAATTGAAAATAAAAACTTTTTACAAAAAAAAATGGGCCACCATGCTGCAAGGCACAAAAACAGCTTGCTGTGGGGTGCAGATACAAGACGCTGCACCATGCAAGAACGGGGCAGGGCTAGTGAGTATCACACAGGCACTAGCCTCGCCCCATTTGCAGCACGTGTGTGCTCGCGGCCCCGTGCACGCATGCATGTAAAATGCTTCCCCCTCCCTTTTCTTCCAGTCCACCAATCAACAATGGTTTGTGACCTCTGCTCTACCACCTCTACTTGAGCTTGCTAGTCGGCCGCTTCATCTCCTTTGTGCTGGGTGGGGCTCCTGCTCTGGGTGGCAGTGGGGGCCTGAGGCACCTGCTGCTGGTGGCGGTGGCACATGCCAACAGAGAGGGCTCTGAGTGCCGCCTCTGGCACACGTGCCATAGGTTCGCCACCACTGGTCTAGGAGGACCCCCAGATTACACACTAAGTCTGTCTGGGGCTACCCCATCCAAAACTACAGATGGAATAATCTTGTCCCCAGAAGACCCAAATACCACCGTCATTCAGTGTTGCTAGGGTTGAGTTGGAACCCATCTAATCCCCAGCTACCTCCAGACACTGGGATGGGAATCCATGGCATCACTCAAGGGATGGGTGTCATTCATATTGATATCTCACAGACATTGTCTGTTAGCATCTTCAACTTATGCCAGGGATACTTCAACATCCATGTGTTTCTCAATTTTTTCATGCAAGAAATATTTTAGTACTTAAAATCATAGACCTGACTAGCTATCTGAGCAATTTCTGATATTTTATAAGTCTTTAGACAGTTTATTAATTCAGACATATTTACTAAATATTATTTTATAGAAGGATTTTTCTTGTTTAAAATATTTAATTAAATGCTTGATAATGTTACAGCACTCTTTATAATGGTAAAATAACAGCCAAAGTTGTAGGCCTCATCTTAGCCTCATTTTCTCTTTTCCAGTTGAGTAATGCCAATTGTTGTTTTTGTCTCTTCATATTTGTTTTGATCTCCTTGTTCTGAAACACCTCTTCTAGACATTTTGCATTTCTTAAATTCTTTAGAAGGGAATTTAGTGACGATAAGCAGCCAATAACAACCGACAGTCACCCAGAGTCACTTTATTGGTGAGATGGATGGCATATAAATTTAATAAATAAAAATAAATAACAATGAAGGAGAACATTTGTAGCTCAGGATTGAAATGAGGAATCCTAGGTGCTCTCTGAGCTTGCTTGTTTTCTTGCAGATGTTTCATTACCCTAACTAGGTAACATCATCAGTGCTGGTAAGGACTGTTGTTTTTTTTTTTGCTGTCGGTTTATATAAGATGACACCTTCACCATAATAAAAAAGGACCAATTAGAGAACACTTACAGAACCATCAATAACAATTTTAAAGGAATCCAGTTTACTACAGAAGAAGAAAATAACTCACTACCCTTCCTATCATCAGCAAAGACCACAATGGCAAATCTAGAAACGCAAGTCTTCAGAAAAACAACCCATCCTAACCAGGTGCTCCACTACCAAAGCAACATCCCAATCTCCCACAAGAAAAGCTGTGTGAGGACTTTATTTAAACGAGCCCAAACTCACTGCAGCAACCCAGAATAGTAAAAAAAAAAAAAAAAAAAAAAAAAAAAAAAAAAAAAAAAAAAAAGGAAATGGAGCATCGATACAACACATTTCAACAAAATGGGATACCCATGCAACTTCATCAAAAGGTCCTTGACCACTCAACCCAATTCAGCGCAACAAACACAAACCCTAAAAAGAATTACACTGTCATACATCAAGAATATTGCAGATATCACAAATAGACTGTTATAACCACATGGAATCAGCATAGCACATAAGCTAACTAAAGCCTTTCAAAACATCCTAAGCAAACCCAAAGACCCAGCAAGAAGAAAAAACAGGAGTCATCTACAACATACAATGTAAGAACTGCAACAACCACTAGTTAGGACAAACAGGCAGAAAACTGGCAGAACCCATCCATAAACACCAACTGGCAGTCAAAAGGCATAATGAAAATTCTTTAATTTCACAACATATAGACAGATTTAACCATAATTTCAGTTGGGAAAATGTGACCATCCTAGACCAGGCCAAATCCAAAAATGCCAGGGAATTTCTAGATGACAAATCAATAAACACATAAACATTAACAACATCTATAGACTATGCAAAAGAGACAATCAACCAACCCAAAAGAGAAAAAGACTCCAGCATCTCTCACCAGTAATCAGCACCCAGATCACCATAGATTAACTCCAAGGTCACCTTCAGACCAACAATCAAGTAAGCAATACCCAAATCAAGAAACTGCCACAGAGCCATTAGCTCAGCTAAGGAATCCCTAAGTCCTCCCCACCCAATCAGACAGGCAAGACACCGGAATATAAACTGTCAGCAAACAGCACTGCTTACTAGCACTAATGATGTTACCTAGTTAGGGTAATGAAACATCTGCAAGAAAGCAAGAAAGCTCAGAGAGCACCAAGGAGCCCCCCCCTCAAAAGTAAATAAATAAATAACAGGCTGGGGGAAGTAAGGCATTCAGCAGGCCATCTTCAATGGTGCTCCAATTCTAATTATTGTAGCACCTCAAATGCCATTCATTTCAATATATTTATCGGCATCACTGGTTTTTATTTCATTTCTATATTGTACCAACATATTGGATATTTATATTCTCATATGTTCTAGATTACACAGTATGTTTTGATAATAGTTTTGATAATAAAGTAGAACTGACATAAAAATTAAGTAGTTAAAATCAGCCTGCTTTTAAAGATAATTGCAGCATCTTATTTATGTTTCCAAAGGTATATAAAGAATGTGAATTAATAAGAATTATGACTCCTATACTTTAAATTCATTGCTTTCCCTAATTCAATGCATTCTTTAGTTCAGGATTTACCTACCATTTAAGAAAAAATAGATGTTGTTATGAATTATTGAAGAACCCTACCTGAGATCCAATTTCAGCACAGCCTTGTCCAACTGCTTCAGCAAATTTGTTCTTGAAGGTAATACCCATATTTTCTATTCTTTTCACTATTACTTCATGAGGATTAACTGTGCAGTTCTGTAATATTTGGAAGGAAAACTTTAGATACCACCATCAATACTGACTACAGACAGAGCTCAGAAAAACTCAAAATAGTAATGCAAGGTTGGAAGATGTGATCTGGCCAATAGAATCACCAAGGGTCGGACACGAGTGAATGGATAATATTATCATCATCAATATTATATTAGAAAAATTATCTTCAACTGAAGGGTGAGCTTTAGAAATATCGTATTTTTCCGTCTATAAGACGCACCTTTGTATAAGACGCTTTCCGCGCCGATCAGCTGTTCGGGGGCACGTTGAACAGCTGAGCTGGAAATCCGGAGGTTCAGCCGGCCGACGATCTTGCCCCCTCCCCTCTCCCGTTAGTGGCAAGCCCACAGGGGCTTGACACCTGCACCAGGTGGCATGGCAACCCACACAGGCATGCCCTGGGCTTATCATTATTTTTCCGTGTATAAGACGCACCTGATTTTTGAAGAGGGTGTTTGCAGGAAAAAATAGCGTCTTATACACGGAAAAATATGGTAGTACATTATTAAATCACTACTTCATTTTGTTAGCAACAGGTTAGGATTCTTTTAGTGAGAACAAACATATTTAAGAAATCAACTTAGGAGGCTAACAGGTAAGAAAGAGTCTTTGAATTAATTTAAAACTTAAACTCACAGATGTATTATTGCAACAGAAATACTAACTCTACCACGTGAGTTCTTTTTATCAGAGAAGTATCATTCCTATGAACATTATAGGCAGTATAGCAATGATTCCCACTCTGATAACCTCTCATTTATATATTATATTAACCTGCCTTTGAACATAGTTGCAAAATATGTAAGTAATATTAGGATCTGCTATTATAAACACATTACAACAAACTTTCAGAGTTTTTTTGTAACAGGGATGAATATTATAGACCTAGTTAGGATACAATATGACATGGAGGCTTGCTATATAAAAGAATGCCTCTCATATTAATAATACTTGTTTTTCCATTGGTTGGCAAAATATTTATTTGTTTTGTTTTACACTCATCTCACCATGAAGTGACTCTGGTCAGCTTACAACAGTGGTCCCCAATCCCCAGGCTACCGTCAATTACTGGGCCATGGCCTGTTTGGAACTAAGCCATGGAAGCAGCGGGTGAGTGCATGCTCACCTGCCACTCATGTGAAACCATTCCCTCTCTCTCCTCCCCACTGGTCCAGAAAGCCAGAAAGGTTAGGGACCGCTGTCTTATAATGTTAAAAAATAAATAAAACAATACAAAAGATGTACATAATAAAAAATAAAACACTGTAAAAATATAAATTATCAATTATAATTAAAAGATAGGGAAGGGGGGTGAAAATGGGGGGTGGTGGGATCTGTTTTATTTATCTATCAATCATCCCCAGCATGACACCCCTCCATACGTAACTAACATAACTAAGGACCCAGAATAAATTTCTGGATGGCTTACATTTTGCCTTTGCATTAACTGAGATTTTAGGATTTTATGCAATGATTGAAAAAAAAAAGGGGGGGGGGAAACAAAGTTTAGCCCATAAACCTGAAGTATGCCTATATTTACTTTAAGTTCAACAAAGGTCCTTGAATATCCTCCAATTTGAAGTACAGGCAATGGCCATGAAGCAAAGGACATTTTCTATGTCAGGTCCTTGCCATGTATGAGATGTTGCCCAGACTAGGACCAAACTGCTGTCATATCAGCACCACTTTCAAAATCCTGGGTTAGTGTTATGTATAAAACTCAACTATTGTCCCCTTGACAATGGTTATTGGGACGGTAGAGCAGGGAGATTGAGGTTGCTTAGGATGTTAATTATTTTCTACTTAGAATTTATTCAGAACAAGTAAAATAAATAAATGCATGTTGTAGGGGAGAGTAATCATAAGCTGTACACAAATATCAGTTCACAGAAACTGACTCATCCTTTCCTCCTCTTATTGAGTTCTAAAAAAGGTCCTTTGGAACATCCATATGTTTTAGAGAAACAGCTGGTGTGGGTTGTTTATGAGGAAATCCTGTCAACCATAGTGGACAGATACCACTGAATTTCATCCAATGATTCAAAAAAGAGAATATTAAATTTCTTCATAATTAGCATTTTATTATAACATTGTGTTTTTATTCCTGGTGGAAATAATACCCATCCTGCAAAAATCTTCCTTTTCCCAAAGTTTATGGCTTATCAGAGAATAAAGAAGTAAATCCTGACAAAATAATATATTTTAAAATATAGACAGAGCTATTTTAAAATGTATTTTTCTTTATCTCCTTTTTAGTTTAAAAAAGGCATATAAAGATCCTAACAACACTGAAATACATAAAACATAGCCTGGTTTTCCTGTGATGCTAAGCCATAATTTTGAATTTGCTTATAACATAGGCTTGTTTTAACAGTTGTCTTACTAGAATCCAGCTATTTCTGGTGTATTTTATATTCCATAAAAGCAATTACAAGAATAAAAGAATTCCTGTAATATTCAACTCCATTTAGTTAAACAATAAATTTTTGCATGCCCAGATCATACCTGAGCAAAAGCAAATATGAGGAATTATTAAATTTTGTTACTATCCTAACAAAAAATAATTGCAGAAATTAAGCAACCATCTTTAGAATTGCAGAAAAAGCACATACATAAACACTCTTCATAAAAACACACAATGACATAAAGAAATTTCTAATGTATTGGTGCAGTTTGCACAAAATAAGCCAACAAACTTGACCAATAGTAGTATACACTGCCAACTTCTTCACATGTCTACTTTTAAATAAATTGGCACTTACTAAAACTAACCATATCATGTAAACCGGAAGCAATTATTTCCAGTCAGAAATGAAACAAAACAAAACAAATCTGATACAAACTATTAAGAAGTCACAAATATAGTTAAATTGTTGCTACTTACATTAAAATAGAAGAGAAGGTTGTCTGAAGGAGTATCACTTGCAGAGTTTAATATTATCATTAACTGCTGAATAGTACTCATTGCAGCTCTAAAGTGAATAAAAAACATTATTAATATTTTCTGAAATACAACAGAATTTAAATACATTCCTCAGAACTATAATTTTAATATAACAACACTATAGTGTTCCCTATAATGATAGTATTAGCATCCTGTGAAGCATTTCAAACTACTCATATTATGAAGAACTTATTTGTAGCAGCAATTAAGTTGTACGACAATTTCAGGCATAGATTTGCTAGTGATCTAAGACATAAAATGTTTGCAAGCATTCTACTATATGCTGAGAAAACTACTATTATTAAAATATTTAAACCCCTACGATAGGCCTTACTGTTATATTTTTCCTTTGAAACTACAAATGTAAATGTGTGCAATATTTTAATAAAACCTAAATATTTAAGAAACTGACACTTATTTTATTCAACTTATTTAAATCTGTGAAACTTACAATTCAGAAATAATTAAAATAAAGTATTAAACTAATTCAATATTAATACAATTTAAATGATTCTTACCGAACAGGGGTTTGTGGAAGTATAATAGGAGAATCTTCACTTTGGTTTTTTGTAGGAGTTCTATCTAACTGTAAACTTAATATAAGAAAAATGTCTCTACATATACAGTACATGTCATGTACATATATAAAAGCTTCTTTTCTTAAACCAAGCTGAAATCTTTGGTCACATTAGCTCCCCACACCACTCATGACAGAGTTCTTGTTAATGGCAACGTTCAAAGAGGGATTGTTACATACTCCTAGTTGAGTTCTGAAAATAATAGTCCCTATAGTGAGGTTTCTTGCTTCATTCTTTTCAATTTTTTTCAAGATGTATTAGATATACATCTAGCACAAGGGTGTCAAAATCACAATGTCACATGACATGTCATGACGTATCGTGACTTTTTCCATTGCCGGCAATGGGGTGGGCACGGTTTCAGCATGATGCATCCGGCCCATGGGCCAGCAGTTTGACAGACCTGATCTAGCATTTATTCATTCTCATTTCCTTTAGCAAACCTCCCAGACTTAGGCTTGACTGACTCTTGCAATTCAAAATCATATCTACTTATTTATATTATAATTATAACTTGGAAGGATCAAGCACCCATTTTAGCCCACACTTCTACAAAAGCAGCAATAGCATTGCCAAAGCTGGATAACAATTAATAAAAGAGAGCATACTATCTTTAACCAAATTAGCCTCCCTTCTATTGTCAATAAGATCATAGATCTGGATATTCATTCTAATCTTCCATTTTTAAATGAGGTATCACTGCCTGTGAGGCAGATGAAGCTAATTCTCAATTTACTTAATGAATCAATAGATATTACTGGAATACAGACTATGCAAAAAAGAAATAGATTACCATTCTGGATTTTCATATTGCAAAGTCTCGTCTTTCTCCAGAAATAATCTAGCATCAATATCCTTGTTTTTCAAATACATTTCTTCATATTTGCTTGACATATCTTCAACCTTCAGTGAAAGAAAAATAGATTCATAGTGAAAATATGTTATTCATCTATAATACATTTATGTGTAATTTATTTTGGAAAACATTGTTTATACTCCATTTATTTACTCCATTTATTTTAAGAAAAGCTTTACATAAATGACCATTTAATGCAGTATTTCTTAAACTGGGCAATTATCACTAAGGGGATAATTTGGGCATATTCTGGAGGTAATGGAGCAATTTATAATTATTTGTTTTTGAGTTCAGGATCTGGTTTTGGAACTTAGTCTAAAATCAGAAAATGGGTTTTTGCTGAGTAATGACAGTATCAGGAAAAGGGTAATTGGATCAAACAGTTTAAGAACCACTGATTTTGTGTCATGTGACATTCAAATACATCTATATTCATAAAAAGTATTAATAAATTGCTAAGTAGCATTTCACTATTAGAAAAGTCTACCAAGGGGCAAGTTTCTAATTATCAAAATCAGATCAAGGATTCATAATGGCAAACAGATTTTCAAATTAATTTAGGTTTACCTCTGGAAGTCCTCTGAATGTTGTAATACCCATTGAATTCAGGAATGGAATAAAGCTAGTAAAGTAAACATTTTTCACCTAAAATTATAAAAGAGAATCAGTGTCGTGAGTGTTATTTTTCATACATAAAATGGCATAAAAATGTATGTGATTTACTATTATATTCAGTAGCATGAAGACATTGCTACATCTGACAAGACTTGTTATCTAGAATTACATTTAGTTTAGCACAAAATGCCTGTAAAAATATATGGTTTATGACATATTATTTGTATGAACTGTCCTAAGCAGATATATGCAAGACTGATTAGCATAAGTTTTGACCATAAAAAGAGACTAATCTTCTTCTTCTTCTGGAGTACCTTCTGTTGTTTTACCACCTGAAAACTAAGTTCACAGCATGTTTCAAGATCAGTTTTACTGATTCTATTACAAAGGAATGACAGCAAAGAATTACACTTTATTACATCCATATTAACAATATATATATCAGATGCTAACATATTATGAAAGCTATCTACAGGTAGTCCTTGACTTATCACAACTGAACCTGAAATTTTGGTCTTAAGTGATTGCAATTGTATGTCAAGTCAGCACATGACTGAATCTGACTTCACCACACTTTTTATTGCAGTCATTAAGCAAGTCACTGTAGTCGTTAAGTGAATAATGTGGTTATTAAGTACATCATTCGCTTGTCCGAATGGGTGTTTTTTTGCCAGAAAATGATAAAAGGGGCGTTGTCTTACCTGAACACCTTTTCTCAGTACGGAGATGGAGAATCCACCAATGGGTTTTCTCTGTCTGCCTGCTCTTAAGACCAAGTAGCCAAACTTGACACGCCCCCTCTTGCTAGGAGATCTAGTCTTGACGAGGGTGAAAGTGGCTGATGCTGGACGAGATGTTGGCTCTCAAATCCCTAATACCGGCCTAACTGACCTTAAGGATGGGTGTGGATTCTCCATCTCCGTACTGAGAAAAGGCGTTCAGGTAAGACAACGCCCCTTCTCCAGTACAGGAGATGGAGAATCCACCAATGGGACATACCAAAGCCTTACTTTCCCAATGAGTGGGAAATTGATAAGGCCGGATCAAAGTCCCTGGAGACCACCTGCTGGAGGACCCTCCGACCAAAGGAAGGGAAGCGGTCAATCCTAAAGTGGCGTACAAATGGGGAGGGCGAGGACCATGTCGCAGCCCTGCAAATCTCTTCGATGGACGCCTGAGCGGCCCATGCCGCAGATGTCGCAGCACTGCGAGTGGAATGGGCTGTGATATGACTTGGAGCCGGCAGGGAAGAAGACTGGTACGCCTCCGCAATACAGGTCCTAATCCACCTGCCAATAGTGCCAGCGGACACCTTCTGTCCCAGGGAAGCCGGGGGGAAGGAAATAAAGAGGCCCTCAGATTTGCGAAAAGACTCCATGCGCTTGATGTAATGCCGTAGGGCCCTGCGGACGTCCAGTGTGTGCCACTGCCGCTCCAAATCATGGGAAGGATTGGGACAAAAATTTGGCAAAATGACTTCCTGTGCCCTATGGAAGAGTGAGTTGACATTGGGCATGAAGGCGGGATCCAACCGAAGGACTACCCAGTCCCGGTGGAAGATGCAAAGATCATTCCTGACCGAGAGAGCAGCCAGTTCGGAGATATGTCTGGCTGACGTGATGGCGATTAAAAATGCAACCTTAAGAGATAAGGCCCGCAATGGTATAGTAGCAATGGGCTCAAAGGGCGGTTTCGTGAATGCGCAAAGCACACAAGGCAGCTCCCAAGAGGGATACCTGTGTACCACGGGAGGCCTAGTGTTGCATGCACCCTTGATGAAGGCATGTATCCTAGGATGATGAGCTAAAGGAACTGAATCCGCGCAAGTGAGCAACGTCAATAGGGCTGCCATCTGCCTACGAATGGTCGCAGGGGCCAGGCCTCTGTCCAGACCGTCCAGAAGGTAGTCTATGATCCGAGGAATAGTTAATTTGTAGACATCCAGTTGTCGCTTTCTGCACCAAAGGCAAAAATGTTTCCAGGTGGAATCATAAATGTGATTGGTCGACGAGAGGCCTGAATCATGGTAATTGTTCGTGGTGAGAATAACTCTTGCGTCATGATGATGCGCTCAAGCGCCACATGGTTAACTCCAACCACTGAGGGTCCGGGTGTTGGAGGACCCCCCTGGTGCAAGGATACGCGATGTGGGAGAATCTTCCACGGAGGAGACCGGGAGAGATTCATTAGGTTGGCAAACCAGGGCCTCTGTGGCCAGTACGGGGCCACGAGGATCACTTCCGCCTGCTCTTGGAGTAGTTTGCGGATGATCGCCGGAATGAGCGGGAGGGGAGGGAAGGCATAAAATAGACCCTGCAGCCACGGAGTCCGCAGGGCATCCATTCCGTCTGCCCCGGAAGGTAATAATGGGAGAAGTACCTGGGGAGTTGGGCATTGTTCGATGACGCAAACAAGTCAAGGACCGGATGCCAAACTTGTGGGAGATCTCGGAAAAAAGATCCAGATGTAATCCCCATTCTGAGGGGTCTATTGTAGAACGACTCAAAAAGTCTGCCTGTTGGTTCTTGACCCCCAAGATATGTTCAGCCCTGAGAGAGGCCAGGTTGGACTCTGCCCAGGAACCTAGCAACCATGCCTCGGACATAAGGGACTTGGACCTGGTGCCCCCTGCCGGTTCACGTGTGCCTTGGATGCCACATTGTCCGTGAGGATCAATACGTGATGGCCCCTGATCCAGTGTCGGAATTGACAAAGAGCTAAGTGTATGGCCCTGAGTTCCAGCCAATTTATGTTGTGTCTCAAGTCTGCGCGGGACCAACGGCCCTGTACAAACTGAGACTGTAGATGGGCTCCCCGACCGAATAGGCTGGCGTCCATCGTGATGGTGAGGCGGTCCGGCTCCTTGAAAGGTTACCCTTTGGTTACCGCTTGTGAGAACCACCAGCGTACCTGAGGGCGTGGACCGGGAGCCTCACCTGACGGTTGGATGCACTGGCATTCAATCGTTGGTATGGCAGAAGGAACCATTAGATATCACTCAAATGGAGTCTGGCCCAGGGAACTATGGCTATGAGGAGACCATCTTTCCCAGAAGCTGGGAGAGTAAGACCAGTGGAACGGTGCAGTCCTTGTACACTCGGCGAGGCAGGTCCCTGATGCTGACCACCAGCTCCTGGGAGAGATAGACCATGCAGTTTGTGGTGTCTATGATCGCTCCCAGGTGCAGAAGCCTGGATGAGGGAACCATCTGGCTTTTTTGGAAGTTCACCGAAAACCCGTGCTGTTGAAGGACCTGAATAGTTAGTTCCAGGTCCGACTAGGCTGCCCGGAAGGAGGACGCTTGGATCAACATGTCGTCTAAGTAACACTGTATGCATACCAGTACCTTCCGTAAATGGGCAGCTAGCACAGCCAGGATCTTGGTGAACACACTGGGTGCCGAGGAGAGGCCAAACGGGAGGGCCTTGTACTGGAAGTGACGGCCCCTGTAACAGAATCTGAGGAACCGCCGGTGATCTGGATGGATGGGGATGTGGAGATACGCTTCCGTGAGGTCTATGGATGCCAGGAAGTGTCCTTGTCTGATGCCTCCCAGGATGGATTGGAGTGATTGCATCTTGAACTTTTGTATGTAATGTAATATTTCAGACGTTTGAGGTCTAGAATTGCCCTCCATCCCCCGAGGTCTTGGGGACCACGAAGAGGATGGAGTAGAATCCCCTTCCCATGTGGTCCGGCGGTACCGGTTCTATGACCTGAATCTCTAGAAGATGCTGAATGGCCTCCTGGATTAATCCCTGTTTGAGTGGATCCCGAGAAGTTGGACAGGTGATGAAGCGACCCGGGGGACTGGCTAGAAACTCCAGGGACAGGCCAAACTGGATTGTTTGTAAGACCTAGGTGTCCATGGATATGAGTTCCCACTGATGGAAGAAGTGGGCAAGCCTTCCCCCTATGGGAAGTGCGGTGTAGGAGTCACTTGGACCTCCTGTAGGGGCGTCCTGCCCCTCAAGATGGCCTCTTGGATTGGTTCTCCTGCCTGGGCCGAAAGCCCGGTCTGTCATACAGATGGTCATATGGCCTGTCCTGTCTGGGTGTGTATGAACGGGAGGGCTGGGTGGCTGCCGAACCTGCTGCTGGCTGAAAGGACTACCTGCGGAAATAGGGAGCGGGACGTTTGTCGGACCGTTTATTCAGATGAGCCATGACCTTCCGCTTGTCCTTGTTTTCTACAAGGTACAGAGCCAGGGCCTCCCCAAAGAGATTATTGCCCAGATAGGGGGCAGTTGCGAGACACCATTTGGCCTTGGCATCGGCCTGCCAGTGTTTCAGCCATAGCATCCTTCTGGCTGTAATGTTGGATGCCAGAGACCTGGAAGCAAAGTTGGCCGACTGAAGCGTCGAGTACGCAGCATACTCAGTTGCCGCCACCATTTTGCTTAGGTCCTGGTGAGTCCGAATGTCCTCAGAAGGGACTCTGGCCTGAAGCTGACGAAGCCATAAGAGGGTGGTTCGGACAAAGAAGGACGCACAAGTGGCCGTTTTAATTGCCCATGCCGCTGATTGATGGGTCTTTCGGAAAGCTTGGTCTCATTTCCTGTTGTCTGCTTTAAGCGCCTCAGACATGTCCCCAGCGACCGCAGTCTGGGACTCCAGAGGGGTCCAGGCCTTGTCAACCTTGGGAACCTCCAGGGCCTCAGTGAGGTCTGTGGAGGTGCTAAAAATCTTTTTATTTGTCTCGCTTACAGAAGGAAAGGAGAAAGGGGAGACCCATTGCTCTTTGATACCTTTAAGAAATATAGAAGGATAAGGAACGCGGTGCTGGGCTGCCACCATTTCAAAAAATATCGGATTTGGACTGGAATCCGATGTGGCCTGCGGTCGAGGGAACTGATCGGACCCTATGTTTGCCGTTGAGGTGGCCTTGCAAAGCAAGGGGAGAAACAGGGTTGGATTTAACAAACCTCCCGACAGGGAGGGTTCAAGGGGAAGTTCCTCTTCCTCTGATAGATTGAAATCCGGCTGAACCTCACCTTGCAGAGATGAGTATCCGCTAATTGAGGAGGGTGCAGGAGATGTGGGTTCCTGTAATAATGGGATCCCCGTGGGAGGGACATAAGGTGGCATAGTTGATGTGGAGACCTGCTGCCCGGGTGGATTGAAGGACCACGCTGCTAGAGCGCGGTCCACAACCTTGGATAGCAGGGCCTCACGGCTGTCGGAGAAAATGTCTCCGATGTCTGGTCCCGAGTCCTACGGCCGTTGGTGTGAAGGTGGCCTGTGGAGCTGAACCCGAGGTGGTTGCTGTGTGCTGAACTAGCACAGAAGGGGAACAAAGTGTGGCGGGAGTCTCTGTCAGAGACCACACGTCCTGAGCCAAGGTTGAAGGACCTAAAGGAAGGTCAAATTCAGGGGCCGCCATTTGATCCGTCTCTAATCCGGCCTGTCTCTGTGCTCTGGAGAACTCCTTCTCCAGAGACTGGTGCCTATGGCTAGCTTGCTTTTCCGCTAATTTGGAAGGCTTCTTGAGAGTGGCCTTAGCCTTGGTTTTGAGCTTGCCTGTCGTTTCCTGTTCAGAGGTTTTGTGCCGGCTGTAACTGGAGGACAGGGAGGCAGTGCTCATGGGTTGAGGCACTGTGGAGTCCTCCATCCTGGGTTGAGCTGTCTCAGGGAAACTGAGGCGGAGCTCTGGCAGGCAAGCGGTTGGCGGAAGCGAAATTGGAGCAAGTAATGAGGACTGTTCCCCTGACCACCTGACCAGAAATCAAATCTATCTGGGCTTTGGTCATGGCAATTGAGGCTGATGCCGAAGGCACGGTTGGAGACCCGCTCTGGGCTCCGCCTGGAGGCCTTAGGTAGCCAGTCAAGGTGCACCAGATAGCCCAATGAAGGGTGCAGAGGGCCTGAGAAAAGACCTGGCAAGGAAAGTATGAGGCTCAAAATGGCGGCTGGGCAATTTGGGCATGGTTGTAGAATAGCAAGTGATATGGAAAATGCCCCTCAAATGCAGCCTGGGTCAGGCCAACTACTGCGACTAGGCTTCGTGGGGCCTAAAGAAGCGCCCATGTGGCGTTCAAAATGGCGGCTGCCGGGAGTTGCAGTAGCCTATTGTACACCCAGAGCTGTGCCGCCTGAGCAGCAAGGCCTGAAAAGTTTGAGTAACTGAGCCACCGATGAAGAACAGAATTAGCTAGGGCAATGAGAAGGCTGTTTGAATCTGCTTGCCTTTGGCAGCAACCCAAAATGGCGGCTGCAACTTGTTCTCCACTGAGAACGGCCTCCGCAGGCCTCAAAGGCAAAATTTATCAGTGCTGGGGTGATCGTGTTAGCAGTGCTAGACACTGCACCGGAAAGGTAACCAGCAAAACAGTCTCCGATCGACAGGAAAAAACGAAGCTCCGAAGTCTGAATTTAAATTCATTGCCTTCGGCAGCAATTAAAATGGCGGCCGCGGTTGTCCCAAGCCGCCGGAGACGACTCCGGGAGCCTCGAACTCAAATGCTGAGTCACAGACCTGCAGCGTGAAATTCTGCCCGGTAACTCAAACAAGGGGAGGATGAAGAATATGTTCGAAGCAGTATTTATTCAGAAAAGTTTTCCCCAGAGCCATGGGGAAAGGGAAAGAAGAGAAAGCTGCAGAGGCCTCCCCCCACCCTTCACACCACAAATCGTCCAATTTGAGTCAGCACTGATCCCAGCGCTGCAGGGGGATAGTAGGGAAGGATTCCCAATCTGTATTATTTAATTAAATTGTTGAGGGAAACTATTAGGGAAAGGAGAATTCACCAATGGATCTCTAAACTGTTATCTGCTGAGAGAGCCAAACCTGACACGTCTTCAAGAGCTTGAGACCAAGTCAAGACTGGATCTCCTAGCAAGAGGGGGCATGTCAAGTTTGGCTACTTGGTCTCAAGAGCAGGCAGACAGAGAAAACCCATTGGTGGATTCTTCATCTCCTGTACTGGAGAAAAAGTTACAAAACAGACCACAGTATGCTGCAATGTGAGCAAGAATGCCAAGTGTTCAAAATGTGATCATGTGGGTGTTTTTAACTTCAAAGATGGGTCGTAATTTTTTTTTAAAATTTGTTGAAATTTTGAACAGTATTAAGCAACCAGTTGTAAGTCAAGGACTATCTGAAATGGAAATAGTAGGCTAGCCCTGGGAGAGTTGCTTTCATCACTTCTGCAACTACTGACTAAATATCAAAACTGTACAAATATTAAACTGATTATGACAAGAAAAAGTTATTGTTGACAAATACAATTCATTTAAGTAGCGTGAAATAATCCTTCTAAAGAAGATATGAATGCTGTGAACATCTAGGAGAGAGAGAAAAGAGGCTTAGATATTGGAAACTTATCTAATATTGTTTCCATATCCAATAAGTAAGAGGAACTGGAACAGTGTCCTAGAAAATATCAACTAACTAGTTAACTCCAGAGAGTCAGTTTGGGCTAGCAGTTAAGGCACCAGGCTAGAAAGCAAGAGACCATGAGTCTTGCTTTAACTATGAAAGCTAGCTGGGCAGGGTATATTTAATTTAAATCAACTCAATTTAAATTATGATTTAAATCACTAGTAAAAAGGCTTGATTTAAAACAACTTGATTTAAATCATAATTTTTAAAGAGCAACTGTCATCTCTGTCCTGCAGCGGCTCTTCCTCTGACCCACTGTTGATTCACCAACAGTCCCATTCACTTTAATGGGATGGCTGGTGATGCAGCAGTGACACAACAAGGTGATGGACATGGCGGGCAGCAGGTGAGTGGATGCCCGCTAACAGGCGCTGCCATGATGGATCTGAAACGACAGGTGCTCTTTAAATATAAGGACTCATGCTTGCTGGTAGTTAGAATCATTAATATTATTATTTGCAAACAAAATGAAAATTTCCTATTTAGAATAATAAACTGTCAGGTTAGTAAAACAGCAATATCAGAACCAATTTTAGGTTAATAGGTTAATCACACATAGTTGGAGAACTACTCCAATTCTTTTATTTAATTAAAACACTTAGAGCCTGGTACAGATGCATTTCTTCTCAAACAATCATACAGTTTGTAGTGTACATAGATTTGCAAAACAATGGGATAAAGGAATATTCCTGAACTTTGTTTTATGATTTATGTCATTGCTACTATAAAATTGTGTGAATGCATTGATGCAATGCATGTTATCTCAACTTGCAGAGCTTGGATTCATTGAATGAGTTTACAAAAAATGTAAATATTGCAGAATATACAGTCTCATGCTACATAACTAAGCTCTATTTCATGCTGAATAAACTATTAATGTATCTTAAATAGAAAACTATCTTTAGATTTTTACTCCAAAAACATTTTATTAAAATAAATGTGATAAAAATAAAAAAAAATTGGATTTAAATCAAAACAATGTTTTATTTATTTTTTTAAAAAATCATTGATTATTATCTACCCTGTAGCTGGGTGATCTCAGCTCAACTCACTTCACATGGTTGCAGTTGTGGGTAAAATAGGAAGAAGAAAGTGAGTTGGATATGTTTGCCAACCTGAGTTATTTGTAAAAAAATTAAATAAAGCTAGGATGTAAATAAATATATAAATAAATTTAAAAATCATGGAATTTGAAAAAAAAGTATAATGAAAATATAGGCTGGGAAAAAATACTGTAGAATTTTTTCAAAAGGTTGAATATTCATAACCTCCATAAAGTTAATTATTCATTAAAATATAGAACCAACAGGGTCCGAACATGTCAGCTACTTAAAAATCCAGAAATGAATACCCTTTCTATTATATGGACCCCAGCAATTTCCAGGACCTTAATGGAAATAAAGAGAAATTTTTCAAGAAAGCCTACAAAAACTGATACGCTGCTGAATTTTCATTCATATTCCATAGGTGATAAAATATAATTATAATTATCATAAAATAATTTCAGTTTAGCTAGTGAAATCCTAACGGGTTTATTTTTATTTAGGATTAGCATTGGGTATCTGTAATAATAAATTAATCATGTTCTACAAGTATCCTTGACTTATAACAATTGAAATCAGAATTTTGCTTGTGAAACAATGCCATTATAAAACTATTCATTAAGTCATTGGACCCAATTTTAAGACCATTTTTACCTTGGTAAAAGGGTGTAAGGGAGAATTGGAGAGAGTGTACAAGGATGTGGGAAGATATGTGAGGGACTCCTAGGACCAGGAGTAACCATCATTCATTCAGTACCACTATAACTTGGAATAGTCACCAACTGAATGGTTGTAGGACTATTTGTATATTTCTTTTTTTCATTTTTTTTGTATTTCTTTCAGTAAAACTTGGCAAAATAAATTAAAATAAAAAATATTTTGTATTAAAAATACAAAATTCTAAAAATTCTATTCTTACCTCATCCATATTACAATCATATTCTTTACAGAGCTCTTCAATAACCTTGATGTCTGTATCAGTTTTTGATGTTCTTGTACTTCTATTCTGACTTTGTCTACTTGTACGAGATGAGCCATTAGCAGATACTGCAATTACAGATTCTATGGAAAGAAGCAATTGTTTGCTTATTGTAAATGATTATTTCAAAATAATAAGCAAAGTTTAAAAACTGCTTTCAAGTATACAAAAAAGGATTTATTTACTAGATTAGAAACTGTCAGGCACGAACAGATAGACCCACACATGCTTAAGCCCTCCACATCAGGCTGGGTGCTTCCCGAAGGAACTATTAAATGAGAGTCAGTGTGGCATAGGTCATAAAATTTGGGACATGCATCAAGAAAATCTAGTCCATTCTCAACCACAGTAGCTATTCAATGATTTTTGGGCAGGTCACTCTTAGCTCAGCATGATAGGACTGTTGTTGTGGGGAAAAATGTGAAGAGGGGGTATATTTTCTTAAGCTCCTGAAGGGAGCTTAAGTAAAAAGTAAGTTTTGCAACATTTTATAATCTTTCTTGGTTCTAAATATGAATATGAATCAGCTGCTAAGCATCCCAATTTTGATCACATGCAATGGGGATGCTGCAATGGTCTTAATGTGAAAAATGGTCATGTCACTTTTTTCAGTGCTGTTGTAACTTCAAACGTTCACTAAATGAATGGCTGTTGGTTGAGGATTACTTGTAAATAAAAATGTTTTCAGAGGAATATTAACAAGTGAGGTACTTGTGGCCTTCTGAATACTGCCTTTTGAACTCCCATCAGCTTTAATGTTCAGATACAGTAGCAATTTCAAACCAATACTGTAGTCTTTGATTGGTCATCCCTATATAAATCAAAACATGATATTCCAGCATTTTTAAGACTAGTTTACAAAATACAGTACATCTTCCAATCTGTAATGAGAATATAAGAAATTTGTTTCACTTTTACTTCTGGAAAAAAATAAATATAGGAATGTTTATTCTCTTTGGATTTGGTAATGTCTTTCTAGTTCTCCAGTTTTTATAATCACCATTAGCATTACAAAGAGATGTAAAAGAAACAGACAAATATCTTTTTGTCCAGCATGATAAAAATATAATATTAAGCCAGTTCATATACTTGCATGGGCTAAAATAAAATAATGCATATACAATAATGTATTAATTTTCATTAATAAAGCATGGTTAAAATTTAAAAATTTCTATTTGGGCCTGCTGTTTTAGATCATTAAATGAAAAAGTGCTATATTGCAATGAAATATCAAATTGTAGTCCAAGGAGTGTCAAAACCTGGGGATGAAGTTAAAAAAGAGCACTCAGCCTAGAATCTCTACGTAGCCACAAGCGGACTAAGGCCAACCCCCCTTTAATTCAGTTGACCCTTATCTTACTCCTAGCAGATACTATTAGTTGAGAATATTCCTGCACATAGACATGAGTAACAATAAATCAGTTTAATTGGACCATGTGTGGATCTGATCTTTTGCGCCTGACACAAATGGGTTAGAACAGTAGAAGAAAGTGATAGTTGAAATGAAAACACAGCTATAAAATGTATAAGACAGGATACCATTTTTGAATTGTTATAACTATTTTAATATAGTCATTATTATTATATTTGTTAATAAAACATATTAAATCCTTACTATATGGTTCTTTCAGTAGTGCAAGGGGTAATTGTTTGATACAATAATCAAAAACACACAGCAGAAGCTGGAAAGAGATAACCAAATCATCTTCCATCTGCAGTATTTTTCCTGAAATATTAAATAAAAATATTTGTGCTGAATATAAATCTTTATAAAATAAGACTTTCTCTTTTGAAATGTTCATCAAAGCCATTATAAAATAATTATTTGGTCTTTTTCTCCTGTACTCCCCTAGTTCAGAGGAAGCCCTAAAATTCATTAAATGTTCGTAATAGCATGGTCTAGTGGTTAAGACACCAGGCTAGAAAGTGGGAGACCCTGAGTTTTAAGTCTGTCTTAGCCATGAAAGCCAGTTGGGTGACTGTGGGCCAGTCACTCTCTCAGTCCAATCCACCTCACAAGGTTATTGTGGGAAAAACAGGAGGAAGGTGTGCTGGATGGGTTTGCTGCCTTATTTGTAAAAATAATAAAGGTGAGAGAGAAATAAAAAATAAGTAGAGGAATACTGAATTTCAGCTGGTACAAATATTAAATATATTCCTCTTTCTTTTGCTCAGATAAATTGATAAGCAAATCCTTATCTCTGCTCTACCAGAACAGTGAGCCACTATATTGCGTGTTTAAAATGTTGTATTGGAACAGAGAAAACGAAGTTCAAGTTCTACTAGACCAGTGGTTCTTAACCTGGGTGATATTGCCCCCCAGGGGGCAATTTCATTTTTCAGGGGGGCAATGGAATGAAAAGGGGCGACGCGGGGGCGAAGGAATGAAAAGGGGGCGATATGGGGGCAATGGAGCAAGAGGTTTTGGGGACACTTTTGAGACTTTTTCATACAGTGAATCGCTGTATATCTGTCGTACAAAAATATCAGATTGCTTGCTATTAGTGGATTGAATTGTGTTTTCAAATATTCCTCCCGCTAGCTTCAGTACAGAATGCCATACATATGTGAATACGCATCGCTTATCTTCATGCGCATTGCGCAGCAGCCTCTACCCATACAGAGGCGCGCCATTGGCCAAAATGGGCAGTGATGGAGGGGGGAGCGCTTCTTTCGAAAAATCGCATGCTGAGTGGCTCTGTAAAACATTTTGTGTCTCTTTGTATTGTACTTTTGTAGCGTGCACTCCAGTTCGATATTATATTTTCTTTGTGTCTTTTTATTCCTTTTTACAGTGTGCATGACCATATATACTTTCCTCAAATCTTAATTTAGTTTCAGAATTTTCGTCTTGAAATTCTTAGTTCCTGCATTGTGATTTGTTCTTATGCCCTTTTTATATTTCTTTTTGCGTCTAAATTTCACTTGTAATTCAATCATTAAATGTTACTGTTTTTCTTTTCGGGCATTTCACTTTCTTGCAATTTAATTTTGTTTTCAGTGATCATTACATTTAAGTGTCTTGAATAAATAAGATAATAATGAAATACATGTATCACGAAGTTTGGGAATAAAGTGACGGGTGGTACCAAAATTTTTCACACAGTTGAGATATGGGAAAAAGACTGGAAATAAATTATTTGCATCAATATGTCCTGATGACAATTTTAAAGAAAACAAAAAGTGTTTGCATAAATTGAAGAATTATTTCCTATGTTGTGATTGAGAGGTTATGTTGGGGGAGGGGGGCGATGACAACTTCCTCATTGGCTTAAGGGGGCGATTCGTTCAAAAAGGTTAAGAACCACTGGGCTAGACCATGAAACTCGTTGGATGGCACAGGGAAAGTCGTTTTCTTATTGCCAAACATTTTTATTATAGAAATTATATGAGGGAACACTGTCACTTACAATCCTTTGAGATCTCAGAGTAAATAGAGATTTTAAATATGCTATAATATCACTCAATAATATTAACTATTATTTGTTTTTATTGTCTTGAACCAATAAACCAAAAATTCCCAAAAATACTTTGCTAATCAAACTATTATTTCAGTTATAAACACAATTTGAAATGAAGTAAATTCCACGTAATAATAAATTATTTAAACATCCATACCTTTTGCCAAAAGAAACATAATCCAGCAGCGTTTTATAAATAAGCAAGAACTTATTTCAGCACAAGTTCTACAAATAAAACACAGTAAGATTTCACATTTGACCTTTTAAAGCAATTGTAAATATAGTGGCTACATATTTTGCATGGCATAAACATTTTTCATAGGCAAAAAAAAAGTTAAATAGGAATATTTCATTTACATTTTTAGAAAAAATGTTAACATTACACGACATCAATAAAAGTAAAACAACATGACTGCCCTCCTGCTATTAACTTTATCAGAACTCATAAAAATTCAAGATAGGAGCAATAGTTTTCACTTTTTTGTAACATCAGCTTGGATCAATAGCTATATTTCCTAGTCTATGTTCTGAACTTATTTCAAGTTACCTAATTATGGTGAACGTATTTCTTAAAATTATTCTTACCTCTCCATCACTAATTGTAAAGGTAACATTTAAAATCATTATTTGTCATTTAAAGAAAAAAAAATCAGCTAACAACCCTACACTTATCTGCTCACCCATCTGTCCTTACCCATTGTGCTGTCTGAATATTTGAAATAATAAGTTTTATAATAATAATAATAATATTAGCCATTTTTATTTTATGAAAACAAACTTACTGATCATTGGGCTTGTCAATGCAGATAATTTCACAAGTCCTAAAAACAACAGAAATGAACACATCTGCTTATAAAATCTGAAATTTCAGCTTAATATATTTATAATATCTTAGATGAGATGGTTTCTTGTGGGGTTAATCAGAACTAATTATAGTAGCAAAAGTATTTTTAGTGAAATTCGGCCGATGCAAAATGGGATTATTTAATATTTTTGAGAAATTCAGGGAGCAGACCTCAAGGTTCAGAATTCAACAGGAAGGGCCCTTGCTGATTATGTTCTTGAGATCATCTGACAGTCTTCAGAGCATAAGAAAAAAGTTGTAAACACTTAACTGTTATCAAATTAAAAAAAGCAAAACTCTTATCATATTATATCTCATATTACATCCATCAATGTATGTTCATGTTAAAATATTTTTAAACCACTTATTTAAAAATTAAGTAATAAACAATATAAAATAACAAAACTTATAGTAAAAATATTATATTATAAAAAGAATGCAATAAAACCAACATTCAATATCAGAGAACCTGGCATGTATTTAGAATGGTTGCAGTGCTTTGGGTCTTGTGATCACTTTTTGCAATCTTCTGACAAGTAAAGTCAATGGGGAAGCAAGATTCACTTTAGAACCGTGTAAGGATGGGCCCCAGATGATCCCTCAGGAAAGTAAAACTCTTGAATCCATATGGCTGAATCAAAAGAACTTTACTGAGTGAAAGCAATAAAGATGATTAGGGGACTGGAGGCTAAAATATATAAGGAACGGTTGCTGGAATTGGGTATGTCTAGTTTAACGAAGAGAAGGACGAGGGGAGATACGATAGGGGCTGCCACAAAGAAGAGGGAGTCAAAGCACCTGAAGGCAGGACAAGAAGCAATGGATGGAAACTAATCAAAGAGAGAAGCAACCTAGAACTAAGGAGAAACTTCCTGACAGAATAATTAACCAGTGGAACAACCTGCCTCCAGAAGCGGTGAATGCGCCAACATTGGAAGTTTTTAAGAAGAGACTGGACAGCCGTTTGTCCGAAATGGTGTAGGGTTCCTGCCTGAGCAGGGGGTTGGACTCAATGACCTCCAAGGTCCCTTCCAACTTTATCATTATTATTATTAAAGTGATTGCAGGAAAGTCAGGCAGAATCTGAAGGTCCTGCGTAAAGCATACAGCTATTCTTTCATTTTTCCCATGTCCCAACCCCCCGATTAGTCCACTGGCAGCCAATATGATGTCACAAAGATGTTTTGAGACTGCTGAGGTGCTAGGCAGATAACAGGTCACTCTCAAGGCATGATGGCCTTGGAACCAGGCTGGAACCAGCTGGGAGGGAGTCTGCTTCCTCTCCAAAGGCAATCCCCCTAATTCCCAAACATTACAACAAAGTGAAAGCATCACAAATATGACAATGTCACCCCCTCCCCAACAGAATGGCAGGACACGAAGGTGGACCTGACACGCTAAAACATATAAAGAACAGTTGCTGGAATTGAGTATGTCTAGTTTAATGAAGAGAAGAACTAGGGGTGACATGATAGCAATGTTCCAATATCTCAGGGGTTGCCACAAGGAAGAGGGAGTCAACAACCTGCCTCCAAAAGTTGTGAATGCTCCAACACTGGAAGTTTTTAAGAAGAGACTGGACAACAATTTGTCTGAAATGGTATAGGGTTTCCTGCCTGAGCAGGGGGTTGGAGTAGAAGATCTCCAAGGTCCCTTCCAACTCTATTATTTTATTTTATTTTCATTTTCATTTTCATTATTATTATTATTATTGTTGTTGTTGTTGTATTATTACTATTCTGTTCCCCTGAACAGCAACATTAGTCCTGTAGAACAGAACAATGTTCCCCCTTAATCATTAATGGCTCAGGGGTGGTGGCAGTTCAAGTCGGCAGGAGAAAATAACCTCGGGTTTTAACAAACTACAGTAGAATACAGGGTGGACCCGTCGAAGGGGCTTGGGCAAATCTAATTCTACAGTTATTGATGATGGGTTTAATGGAAAAGGGCCCCACGTATTTGGGCCCTAACTTCTTTGATGGTTGCAGACTGTAGGTAGTGGGTGGACAGATAGACACGATTTCCAACATGGAAGGCTTTAGGTTCCACACATTTTTTGTCAGCCTGCTTCTTATATGCATCATGAGCCTCCTCTAAAGATTTCCTTACAACAGGTCATGTGTTGCGCAGTTGCGAAAGCACCCCAAATATGCCAATGTTTCTCTCTCCCAACAGAATGGCAGGACATGAAGGTGCACCTGACAAACCGTGTTATTAGCTTAACAACTGCAGTAATCACTTAACAGTGTAACAAGAAATGTAGTAAAATGGGACAAAACTCACTTAACAACTTTCCCACTTAGCAATAGAAATATTGGGCTCAATTGGAGTCATAAGATAAGGACTACCTATATTTGGGTAGCCTGTAGCCTATCAGAATCCATTGAAAGGATCCTCTGCTAATGTGTGAAAACTTTAATTATTGACTGACTATGTATGGAATGGATATCTGTTTCAGCTCCGACCACAGGAGCTGATGTGTTGTCAATTCCCAGTAAGCTTCTTAAAAAATAGGTCTCTATTAAGCTAGCTTTTGTAAGGCTCCACAATTCCACATCATAAATCAGCATTGGGGTTATTTTTGTCCTGAATACTTTCACTATGGGGGTCAAGATATCCAGATAATTATAGTTAAACAGTTTATAAAATCTTTTAGTGCTTGCCTTGGCCTTTGCCAAGCTTCTTTTAAAATGATAACGTTTTAAAGTATATTAAAACTTGTACCTTCTATAGAAACTGTTACTGATTGGACTTCCCTCACATACAGTACTTATTTTACATATTTTTTTAACCCCAAAGGAAAAACAACTCGGAACTCAGTAATATCCCTTACAATAGTTTCTTTTTCACATATACATTAGATGGTGTTAATAAGAAAATTCAGGATTAAGCTACAAGTTTCCTTTTTTAACAATTGTAAATAGTATAAAACTGGAACAATCATGTGATTCCTGGTTCTGATTCAAACAATAACCTTTAAATTTCACAGCAATAATATTAAAAACATTTGTCCTGGTTTTCTTACCAGCAACTATACATAAAGCTGTTTCATAACATATATTTAAGTAGTGCTTAATCAAAACACTACTTTTTAAAGAAATCTAAATTTCTAATGCAATGGATATTTTACCTTGTAAACTTCTGATAGAGTGCAAATAGTGTATCATATTTTATTTTCAGACGTGATATAGTACAGTCCATTTTAGCACTAATTGTATCCATGTTGACATCTATTTCTTTAATCAAGTGCAGAAATTTGCATACACTACAAGAAAAATAGAAAAAAGAGCAACCAAATCATTAATTTCTAACATTTACTAAATTAAGTGTAATATTTTCCCACTTCTATGAAATTATATTCCATATTATAATAGTGACTTTGTTCTCATATCTGATATTTTCTGTTAATATACCATCTGTCTCATGTCTGATGTTTTCACGCTCTAACAAATACAATTCTAGTAAAACCTCCATAGTTGGCCACCTCCCTAAGTTTTCCTAAATTTCATAGACTGGACATATACTATATGCACACAATAGAAAACCAACCTCTCTATACTGACCACCTCTGTATGTTGTATCTTGACCACCTGGACCTTGACACACGGTATTAATTTATTCTTTATATATAACTTGACCAGTTGAGTCCAGTCTGCACCAAGGGCAAAAAAAGTGAAATGCAGAACCGGTAGCAATGAATTTCTTTCAAGAAGAATATCAAAGAATACAATACTTTTGGACTTTGATTCGGCAATTTAACAACAATAATTATGGATTCATTTCATAATAGAAATTGCATGAAGACTTAATTTTTTCCCACTTCATTTTTTTTCCTTTTTCAGGATTGATAAAAAAATAGCCAATGGTAAAATGAAACAAATACACGCACAACAGACGTATACAACCCATTTTACTCGTTTTACCTTGCGGCAGCCATCAAAGCAAAGTGCCAACAACAGTGTGCGATCTACAATGGATCTAACCATTGTGAAAGAAAGAAAGAAAGAAAGAAAGAAAGAAAGAAAGAAAGAAAGAAAGAAAGAAAGAAAGAAAGAAAGAAAGAAAGTTTAAAGTGTAGCAAACAATGTTTAGGTACAATTACAAAGCAGTCATATGAGAAAAAAACAGGTTTTACTTTCTTGTCTTTTTTCTATGCAAGTTGAGTTGTGATGGCGAAAAGGAAGGAATTGAAAGAGTTGACATTGAAAAAGGCTGAACTTTTACGTTTTCTAGAAAACAGTAGCCTAAGAAAGACAGCGGAACAAGAAATTGCTAAAAAGTTCGCAAACGAGCTCGAGTATCAGATTTCCAAGCATCAAGTGGCTGGCTCGAGAAATTTAAACTGTGATATGAGATCTCCCAGAAAATATTGGGTGGCGAAACTGATGCGGGAGTTCCAGTAGAAGTTGTTGAAGAGTTCATTGAAAAGTTTCTGGACTTCACCAGTGGCTTCAAAGATGCTGACATCTGTAACGCTGACAAGTGTGGACTCTTTTTCAAGGCAATGCCTGACAGGAGCCTTGTTATGAGGGGTGACAAATGTAAGAGTGGAAAGCTTTCTAAAGAACATTTCATAGTTCTGCTGTGCACAAGCTCAACCAGAGAGAAGTGAAAACCTTTGGTGATTGGTTAAGTCGGCAAAACCACGTTCATTCAAGAACTTGCAACCCAAAGACCTCCCATCACCTGGAACTCTAACAAATATGCATAGATGACTGGTGCCCTATTTGAGGAGTGGATAAGAAGTATTGACCGAGAAATGAAGAAGAAGAAGAAGAAGAAACAATGGACCATTCTCATTGTAGTGGACAACTGTCCTAGCTATCCCCAACTGAATCATCTTTCAAATGTGAAACTGAAATTTTTGCCTCCAAACGCTACATCAAAAATTCAACCTCTTGACCAAGGCATAATCAAAATATTCAAAGCCCAGCTTCTGCAGTGGGTCATTGCTAAAACTCAAACCTATGGTTCATCTGCAGAAGCCAAATCATCTGTTTTATTACCGCTCTGGATGCTGTTCTCTGGATTAGTTCTGCTTGGAATAAAGTTCAGCCTGAAACAACCCAGAAGTGCTTCAAGAAAGCACTTGCCCAAGAGCAAGATGTTGCAGCTCCGCTAGGCAGCTCACCTCCCATGGTGCAATTTGGGGGAGTAGATTTTGAAGATATTGTTGCAATGGATGACGACATGGCAATCTGCAATGAATTGAGCCAGAAGCAATTTTCCAATCAGTATTGACCTAGGTTCAACTCAATGGAAAAGTACCGGAAGCAACTGATGAAGCAGAAGAATTAAGTAAAGAATTAAGTGAGGACACAGAAATTGCAGATATTTCAAAAGAAGAGGATGTCAGTCATGTGATAATGCAGTTAAAGTCATTTGCCGTGGGAGAAATGCCCAGATATGCTAAGTGATATACCCAGCGTTGAGAGAGCTTTCTCGTTTACCTTAATAAAAAGAATAAGAAAAAGATTACAACTGTCTTTTTTTTTAGAAAGAACAAGCCATGAAAAAACAATACATAGGTAAATGTATTGAATTTGTATCATAGAGTATTGTATGAATGGTTTTCGTGTGTTTTCACTATGAGTGTTTCTGTATGACATTCTCTAATAAAAACTGTATAATAAAATGAGGCACATGTACATTTCCATAGGTTGACCACCTCCGCATGTTGACCACTTTCCTTCAGTCCCTTGGATGGTCAACTTTCAGAGGTTTTACTATATATTATAAAGTTCAGGTGTATTTTCTTTTTGATCCTAATGGAGAAATTCCCTGGGAGACTAGATACATTTTATGTGAACCACCTTCTCCAAGATCTAAAAACATTCATTATATGTGAGTAGCTAAATTTTGTGATGATGCAATGAAAAGTAAGACAAAATTACATGTTAAGCAACATATCATTATAGGATATATATAATCAATCTCTCTCTCTCTCTCTCTCTCTCTCTCTCTCTCTCTCTCTCTCTCTCTCTCTCTCTCTCTCTCCACACAGAGAAACAATATATATTCCATGTTTCCCCAAAAGTAAGACCCTGTCTTACTTTCTTTTGGACTCTGAAGGAAGCACTGGTTTTACTTTCAGGGAGGACTTAGTTTTTGCCGGTACTGGTACCAGTAGGCTGCAAGCACGTGGGGGTAGGGCAGGGCCTGTACATGGTGTGGAGAAGCAAGGCGGCAGCGAGAGCATGGTGGTGGACTGATGCGGCTGTGGGTTTGCTTCTCAGCCTTCGCCGTGTGAAAAAAAGTTCAATCAGACTTTCTAACTTCTCGCGAAATCTCACAAAGTTAGAAAGTCTGATTGAACTTTTTTGGGAGGGTCCCACAAAAAAGCGGCGAAGGCTGAGAAGTGAATGGAGAAACGCAATGCAGCTGAAGCAGATTGATAAAAAACACTTGGGGGAGGCAAGGGCATCTGGGTGAGGGCAGCAACCTTGCCCTGTGCAGTTTCAGCAGGTGTCTGGCAAGTGGAGGGAAGCAACTCCACCCCCCTGCCATCTGCCTTGCCTCCTCACATCATGGTGGCAGCGGCAGCAGCCGGCTGGGCAAAACGCGATCTGGCAGGAGCAGCCAGTAAAGGCCAAAAGCGCCCAGCCGGCATGACAGCTGTAGCGCACGCCAGGGCCTAAAGAGCACCAGGTCCAGCCCTTAGCCCGGCGCCTGCAGCATCGAGTAGGTGTGCAGGCTGGCACTCAAGCAGCTCAAAGGCAGAGGCGTGGCCAGTGTGGTTCCACTGGCGGCTGGTGGCGAATGGCCCTGGCAGGCTGGTAGCAGGCCAACATTCCAGATCTGAGCCAACTCGCCCCACTCCACGCAGGAGCAGCCCAGCAGGGCAGCCCAGCGCAGAGCAGCCAGGAGGGCAAAGAGCCTCGCAAGGCAGAAAGCAGCATGGGCAGCCACTTGGCTGCCACATGGCACCTGATGCAGCCAAGAAATGTCCCAGCAGCAGTAGGGCTAGTAGGCAGGGCAGGCGGAGGCCGGGGCTCATCGAGGGTTTGGTTTGTTGCGGCCGCAGGCAAGCAGATGGTGGGACGGAGAGAGGGCAGGACCAGCGGCAGCCGGTTCCATCAGCAACCGCTGACGAAGGACCCTAGTAGGCCGGCGGCAGGGGGGCGCTCCAGCTGTCGCATGGAAGATCTGGGCTGACTTACCCCACCACACGCTGGGGCTTACTTTCAGGGTAGGGCTTATATTAGGCCCACCCCCCCTGAAAATCAGCTGGGGCTTACTTTTGGAGTATGGTTTACTTTCAGGGAAACATGGTATATAATGTATAATAGATATACATTATCTGGGTTATATATGTATTAATATAGTGATAGAATAGTGAATGTATATTATTTTGTAGACTATTTTCTTAGTTGCTAGTATGTTATTGTATCTATTCGCTTTACTTTGTTTTTGTAGTTTTAAATGTTGCTATTGATTGAATAAACATTATCAATCAACTAAGAGTAATTTATTATTGTAGTCAGTAATGTCTATCCCCAAAAAAATCTAAGTACTTTGATAGTACCTGAATGGCGATGACCAAGAAATCCCAAAGCCATAGACTGAACTATAAAGTTAAAAAAAAATCATCCCATAAGATCAAAAGAAGCAATGGCAGTCCAGTGCTGTCACTGCTGTAATAGGTATGAAGATGAACTGAATTTGTAACGTGCAGTTGATGAATACGTGCTAAGAACTGAAACTGTAGAATTATAAATAAAATAGTTAAACTATTTATCAGAAAGTATGAAACAGTGCCATTGAGGTTGTGAATATACATGAAGCTACAAATCTATATTGGTGACAATTTCTGATCCAGAGTATAGAGAAAATGAAAGAACTAGATTTTGGTAGGTTTGTTTTGAATACAAGCATTTAAGGCAGGTTTATTCATTTAGACAAATCCCTACAGAATATAAATCCAGAAGTACAGGTAATCCCTGAGTTACGAGTGTTACATGATGAGCGCCCCCTAGTGCTTACAAGCAAGTCCCGAAATTATGAATGTTGCCGCACCACAGCAACCATTCGCCCTTACCAGCGATCACAGTGGCACTGAAACATTAATCCTGGTTATTCCCTCCCTCCCCACCCCCACCCGGGTCTCCCTAGGCACCAGGCTTTCAATACTCACCCTGCGAAGATTGAGATCCTTCACTTTCTTGGCTGCTCCAGGCCTTCGGTGCGTTCACAGAGAATAGAGGCCTAAAGTAATGCAAGATCATGCAAGATCAGTGGGGCGAGATCTTATGCTACTGATCTCGTGTGATCTCGTGATACTTTAGGCCTCTGTCCTCTGCAACAGAGAACGGAACTGAAGCTGGGGGATGCTCCCACATGCCTCTGGAGGTTGGATCAGGGCATCCGAGGCCTTTTCCAGGCTGCTGCCACCCAGATCTGAGGTCGGAGAATGCTTCTGTGGCCCCGTGGCCCAATCCAAACTCTGGAGGCCTTTTCCAGGCCGCTGCCACCCAGAGCTGAGGCCAGGGGACCCTTATGTAGCCCTCTGGTGGCCCATTTCCAGGCGGCAGCAGCCTGGAAAAGGCTTCCGGAGCCCAGGTCAGGCTGCGGGGGGGAGGGGCACAGAAGCATCCTCTGGCCTCAGATACTGGCAGCAGTGGCCTGGAAAAGGCCTCTGGAGCATGGATCAGGACATAGGAGGGCGTGGAAGCATCCCCCGGCCTCAGATCCAGGAGGCAGCGGCCTGGAAAAGGCCTTTGGAGCCTGTATCAGGCCACATGGGGCGCAGAAGCGAACCACGGGGGACGCGGAAGCGAGCCATGGGGGGGCATGGAAGTGGGCCAAGGGAGGGCATGGAAGCGGGCCAAGAGAGGGCACGGAAGCATCCCCCTAGCCTCAGATACAGGCAGCAGCAGGAACCACAGCAAAGAGGAGACGGATCTTTTCCAGGTGAGTCCGGCGGGGCAGGAAGGGAGGGGGAAGCATGAGGTATCTTAGTGGGTCGAGAAGGCCTTGGGGGCCTGTTCTATCACTAGGCTCTCCGTGGTCTTCCCCACTCTGAGATACCTCATGTTCATTTAACAAGCCACATGTGTCTTAACGAGCAAGGGAGTGATCTTGTTCAAAGTACGAGATTCACTCTACGAGTTTTTGAGTTATGAGTGGAATGGGCAGACGCCATTACACTCTTAACTCGAGGACTACCTGTATAACAGATGAAACTGACAGAATTAGAACTGGATACAAGGGTGGCTTGAGGTTCTAAACTGAAACAGGCCATTTGGGGGGACCATCAAGAATGGATCTGGAAAATACATGGACACAGAAGCAAAGGAAAGAAGTGAAAGAAAAAAAGAGAAAAAGTATGATTCCGGATGAAAAAATATTAAGACAGATTAATTATTTGATATTTGAGGGAACTGCTTCTCTCCACTTACATCTGTGCCATCAGGTCCACAGGAGATGTATGTTATGTGTCCTGTCAACCAGGGGGTTCTGTTGGGCAGGATCTAGAAGGAAAGTCTATTTCTGCTTTGGTGCCACCCTACGGAACATCATTCCCCCCCAGAAAAGACTGGCCCCAACTCTGTTGGCCTTGTAGAAGGCCTTTAAAACATATTTTTTTCAACCAGCTTGGGATTCCCATGATACATTCTGCTAGATGGGTTTATGACAGGAGTCCCCAACCCCCAGTCCATGGCCCGGTGCTAGGCTGCAGACCGTTGGGAACTGGGATGTGCAAGCAGCAGGCAAACATGCAGTTTCATTTGCGCAAGCAGTGTGGGCATGTGCAAAACCATCCTCAGTCCCCCCCCCATCACCAGTCCATAGAGCCAGAAAGATTGGGGGCCGTTGCTTTATGACAGTTAATAGAGTATATTTATGTATATTTGCTACCATCTTTACTTATTTTTATTTTTATTTTAATTGGTTGTTTCACTATTTTTTATGTATTACCCAACAGAATGAATAAAAAATGAATGTAAGGAAAGACAATGTTGAAGATGCTTGGAATAAAAAGAAAAGAATTATGTAAGCGTGCCACAGAAACATGTGGAATAAGGCTAATTGAAAGCACAATTAGGTATGTTTGTATCCACTTAATGGATACAAATGATGTATTGATGAAATGAAAACTGAAATGGATGAGTGAATAGATTGAGAGGAAGGGAACAACTAAGAAAGTTCTGGTTAGATGGTATTGATAAGATCCTTTAAAAAGAGTATTATGGTGATTTACGAGGTCGTATATGATGAGCAAAGACAGTATCCAAAGACAGAAAGATATTAAGAGATATGGTGGTATTAGTTATTTTTCCTTTTACTTTACCTCATGCTTTTAATTCTTTGGCTAACTATATTTTACTCTTGTTTTTGGACCCTGCATGCTTTCGTTTATCCCAGAGGGAAACAGTGTGAGGAATATGTATAAATGAATAATTTCTCCAATCCTACTACTTTAACATGTAATTTACTAATTATTCATTATGAACACTCATACAGATCATTTAAGGCTTCTCATCATGAATCTAAATAAAATTTATTCTTATATGTCATTAAACAGACGTTACTATAATTGCATAATTATAGAAATCTAAGTGGATACAAACATACCTAATTTTTAAACATTTCAGAAGTTCTGTAAAAGTGAAGGTCATCTCATCCAGATCAACTGCAGCCATAAAAATGCAGATGCCCCACATTTCTTTTTTTAGATGGTTCTCCTAGAAAAAAGGTTAGCTCATTTATATGTTGTATTATTTAGAGCTGTAATAAATAAACTATCAGATCAAAATTTATATTTAATAATTGTCTTACACAGAAATTTTGCAGTTATATTTATATAGTTTACCATCATAATATCTTCTATTATCAAACTAACGAATGGTTGCTGGAATTGGGTATGTCTAGTTTAATGAAGAGAAGGACTAGGGGTGACAAAAGGAGAGGAGGGTCTAGCTATTCTCCAAAGCATTCTGAAGGCAGGACAAGAAGCAATGGATGGAAACTAATCAAAGAAAGAAGCAACCTAGAACTAAGGAGAAATTTCCTGACAGTTAGAACAAATAATCAGTGGAACAACCTGCCTCCAGAAGTTGTGAATGCTCCACACTGGATGTTTTTATGAAGAGACTGGACAACCATTTGTCTGAAATGGTATAAGGTTTCCTGTCTTAGCAGGGGATTGGACTACATGACCTCCAAGGTCCCTTCTAACATCATCATCATCATCATCATCAGTAGTAGTAGTAGTAGTAGTAGTAGTAGTAGTAGTAGTAGTAATAAATGGAGCAACATCTATCATTTCACAAAAGCTAATTACTGTTGCTGTATGTATAAGGAACTCAAAAGAATTTTTAAGTTATTGTTATTTCAAATGTAAGAATGGCTCAGCGACTACTTAGGATCGCACTTTTTTTAGGATCAATCAAATACTGAAGGTTATTGCACCAAAATAAAAGGGAATTATTGAAAAAAAAGAGATTTTTTTTTTATTTAAGCCCTAACTATTATCATGGAGGTTGAAATGCTTGCTATTGAGTAACATTTCAAAACTGAAATCATTTGCCTGATATCATATCACTAGTATATACTATTTGAGAAGCCTTTCCTACCTGGTATCTTCCACATATCTTGAAAATGCAAAGATGTGGCAATGCTAGGTGATGAAAGCTATACAACAGTCTCAGATTCATGACCCAAAATCTGAATAATTTATCACTATTTCACAGGATTTGATCAAAAGGAGATTTTTAAAAAACAGAAAAATGAAAATATCTTTTTATACTTCAAAATCTTTCCTCCAAAAGTATTAAAAATCTTGGTACTAACTAAATGAAGTCCTAAATGGGTATCCTTTTATTAGATATATTGTAATTTTTTGTTGTATATGTGTGCCTTTTATATTTAACACAATTCTGTACTTAGAGCCAGATCAAACTGCATTTCTCTAACCATAATTTAATAGTCAAGAGTAACAGAAACACTTTCCAGGATATATCTGTATATTAGTACAACATGAAATATGTCAAGAAATCAATGCAAACTATTGAACAGGATTTCTGTATTTTGTCCAGCTTATTCTTCCTGGCCAAATAAGCCATAGCAGCTTAGAGTAGACTATACAGAGAAAGAAGCTGGAACAGACTCTCTATTATACAAAGGGGAAAGGAAAGGGATGAATAGAGGTCTATCTATAGATGGGCCTTCTGCCTACATAGGGAAGGATTCTGTACTATATCAAAGCTACTGGCCATAAATAGCGACAAGTAATTCTGAAATATTAGCACTTTGCAATCATTTTAGCATGGAGAGCAAGAAATTAAACACTACTCACACTACAAAACACTAGACTGTATCACATGTGTACTAATTATTTTAAAATCAACTTCACCTCATGAAAAAAGTGAAATAGCACTAAAAATATAAACAAAAACTAAATTGGGGGAGGGGTGTGTGTGTGTGTGTGTGTGTGTGTGTGTGTGTGTATTTGCTATTATTTTCCAAAACGTATTATGGTTAATTTTATTAACTAAAATTACATAGTTAATAAGCAAGATATACTCACAACTACATCCATTTTTTCACAGATCTTCCAAGCAATTATTCTCACATTGTCTGTTATGTGTAAAGCATCACATAAGGAAATAAAGTCTGTTTCAGCAAACAAAAGCCTAGCAAAGAGAAATATGTTACTTATAAGAATACTTTAGGTGCTTGACCGATTGTATAATTTTGTGGAATATGTACTACACTATTTTAGCAAATAAACTACTGACTTTTCATCCCCAGTATTTTTATTAGATATTAATAAACACAAACAATGCAAATTGTATATGAAAAATGCAATCACAGGTCCTATCTGTTACCAACAGGTACCATGGTATTTTTCTGACCTCATTCCATGAACTCAAGACACGTTCATATACATATCAATGCATAGTTATTTTATCCTGGTGCAATGAAACATGTTTTATTCATTCTAAAACCTAAGAAGAATTTCTGATGAAAAGCATCATCTCAAAACAGTGACACTTTAATTGTTGCTATTCAACAGTGGTGTAACTTTAGATCTATGTTTTGCTAGTTCCTTAAATCTGCCAGTGGTCTTTACAGAATGCTAACACATTTTTCCCCAATACTCAAATTTAGGTTCAAGCTTTCACAACAAATACTGTTCTAAAAAATGCTGCTGCTATGACTCATCTGAATTTTTCTAATTCAAAATCAAATACTATCTCCTGGAAAGAGAGGGCTCATCTCCCACCAGCCTTGACACACTCTCAGTTTTCTTTTAATATGACTGCAACACTACTGCTGAAAAGCTGGATAGATTTGAAAATCACCTAAAATGTTCCTTGCTTTGCTGGCCTTTTAATATTTTCCACAATATTTAAACAAGTACTTTTTTCTTTCCAGTTGTTATTTCTATGTTATTCTCCCAATTTTCTATCCCTTTTTCTTGCACACATACATACACACAAATTATACACAATAATGTGTCATTTTCAGGTATTTATTGTGGAAAGAGAAAGAACTGGCAATGTTTATAATTTGTTTGCTTCTTTTGCAAGGTCGTCTCTCTCCCAGATAAAACCCACATTATGATGAGCCTAACAGCCACAAAGAAAAGCTGCACAGGCAACAAGAGAAACAGAGAGAAGCATGATGTTCTCAACTTTATGTGGAGAGCCATCACATTTGATCAGTAAGGCAAACGCCGAGAATGAAACCTGTATTCCTCTCTTCTGTTAAATATCACTGATCTCAAAACTCAGCACCATCAGGATTGGCGTTTATTTACATGTCTGTTTGGTCTCCTTAGCATCTTTTCCAAATCATCAAGCTGTTTCACTCCTCTTGGGACCTCGTTTGGCACGCACTCCAAGAGGAAATAAGGGCGACAGCTTTTAAAACGGGGAAAGGCTCTGTTCGTATTTTTATTTTATTTAGATATTTTATATTTATTTTCGATGTAACACGCAAGCTCCAGGGGGGGAAAAAGAAATCCCAAAGATATAATTCCCTTAATCCAAGGAGCAATCGAGACGTAGAGGCCGCGAATTTCCTCCCTTGCAAAAAGATGGCAACCTACGGGCCACTCAAAGAGCTGGACTGACGGCTCTCTCTCCTCTCTCCTGACCCAACCCTCACTTGCTGCCCCACGACTCACTACCAGCACCACCCCCGGACTCCAGGCGACAGCTACCACTGCGGGGCGAACTGACCTGTCAAGAGCCTGGGGGGCGGCGGGCGCTTCAGAGTCTCCCGCGGACTCGGAGCTATCCTCCGTCTGGCTTGGGAGGCCAGTTCCCATTTTCTGGGGAGGGCTGGTCGGCGCCATGCTCGACGCCTCCAGCCACATAGAGGCTCCCCCGAGAGCCTGGATGCTGCTGCAGAAAGCCGGCCACTACCGTAGCCGCTCTCCTCAAAGAATCCCCACCCGCCTCCCAAACCGCGGGAAAATGTTTCATGCCCCACCCCGAGACGTCACTTCTGGTGAAGCGCTCCGGCGGAGACTGCCGTAGAGATACATATACAGACGTGGCTCGCATTCAGCCAAGGCGTCCTGGGCCCCGGGCGCTGGGCTAGTTCTCACGGGATAAATAGTGAAGCTTATTTCTACGATCCTAGCCTTCCACCCATCGATCTCGTTCCAAACTAGCGACATTTCTTGGAAAGACGAGTGAACCCGAGCTATAACTCTCCACGTTTCTATCTCTGCAACATTTTCGGAACAGGGAAGAAGGGAAGCAGTGAATCAAACCTGACATGGCAATGTCTTAGAAGGCTCGGCACAAAGAAAAGGGGAAGGCGACCACGCGGCAAGAACAGGCAGATCTCAAAGTTGCTTTGAACGGCAGGAGTGTGTGCTACTACACTTTTTTTAGCCCTTCTGCTGGAGTCCCGGAGGCTCCATAATGGAAGCCAATACCCACTGACATGGTTTACTGATTGCTTTTAGTGAATAGTAGATATTGTGATATTCACGTCAATAATTATTGCTGTCGACCCCTTTCGCTAGATTTGCTGGGCGGAAGCTGGAGCCCTTGTGCACTCCCATGCAAGACTTCTTGTTTTGCATGAACAAGCCAACCAGGTTGGTCCTATGGAAATATAACCTATATACCCACAAATCTTCAGCTTTCTAACCACTTTTATCAATATTTCGCATGATTCCAAATCAAAGTAAATGCAGAAGTAATCAGAACTTGAAACTTAGTTCAAATCAGAAATCACTATGAAGATTTACACTATGTGTTAACCTAGGAATTTATTTTTTTTATTTGTATCCCACCTTTATTACTTTTACAAATAAGGATGCAAACATATCCAACACACCTTTCTCCCGTTTGTTATCTCAATAGCCTTCCCTTCGTCTATTTACAGACAAAGGTTAAATTAAATTTTCCACAGACCCCTCCTTCTGCCAATAAATAATCCAATGCTAACCTATTTTGATAAGCTGCAGTCCTCATTTGGGTATTCTGTTTAGCCAACTTATTTAATGCTAGCGCTGTCTTGTTAGTAATAATCTCCAGAACTGCTTGTTACCTAATAATGTGATTCAACATATAAATTGGAGTCCTACATCCCCATGATCCATCCTCAGCCCAAGTGGCAGGTCCATACACCTGTATTATACGTTCATGTGGCCATTCATTATCCAATTTCCAATTATCGTTTTTTCCTAGCTTCCTTCTCCTCATTATACTGCTACTCCAAGTTGTTCCCCTTGAGGAATAGGAAGTACGAAAAAACTAGGTTTTATATTTCCCAATACACATGAACCATACCACACTGCTAGGTAGGCTGGTATATGCAAATTTTCCACATATCCAATAAAATCCTTGTGGGGTGAACCATTCTTGGGATGCATTATCCCAAAGCCCCTGTAAAACCGTATTATTAAAAGGATTTTGTTCACCACTATGCATGGTTCCCCAATTCTGAATACTTGAATCCCCGTAAGATCTTTGACCCTCGCATATCATAGTTCCTACTTCCTCCTGGTTTTCGGAGCAGTTTCTCTGAAAGCAGGAGTGACCTATAATGGATGTAGTTAAAGCCCATTTTTGACTTTTCTTTATTAATTTAGTAGTCCAAGTAGACATAATGTTAGCGTCTTGGATATCAATTTCTTTAGTTTCCCAACACCATTGTTCCCCCATATTTATTCCACCACATACATAACAATTCTTTACTCCCAGAGTGGTAGCTATCCTTTCAGCCAGATCTATAAATAGATTTTTGGTGAGAAAGGTGAGTCCCCAGGTATCAAGCTCCTCACAAAAGGAGTGGAATAATTTTCTTTCTATTGGGGTCAGATTTTTCCTGGTTACTTTAATGATGATGCAAGTGCTCAGGTCCTTTCCCGGACTCTCAATTCCCAATCCATATTCCTGTGATCCTTCGTCGGGATCCACAAAATGCAAGCATGTGGGGGTATAATGGTCTTTTAAACAATCAGACTGCCCGACCCCCCTTGGTTAAATTAAACCAATTGCTCTTCTCTGTCCACACTCTAGGTGGATCCCTATCATCAGAGTACCAATATGTCTGGGAAGCCACGTAGGAGCTTCCTCTCTGTTGTTGGTCGTAACAGTATATCCTTTGTGTGAGGTAACTCTGCTGCCAACTCAGGCCCCCAGAGGTGGTCCAGGGACTAAACTTCATGGCATAGCAGGCATCAAAGCAGATTCTACTCTTGTGATTAGCAAAGGTACTGGTGTTCTGTCCTAATAATAATGATGTTAGATTCTTTCCACTTTGAAAGGTAAATATCTGAATGGTTGTTTGATATTTCACACTAGAGGGGTCAACGCATGTAACCCTTCCTGTTTCATTACACAGGGAAAATCAGGTGGTATTATGAACACATGTTCCCACCACCTTCTTACAGTTCATCTGAGTATGATACGTCAGAGTTTTAGTTACCTTATTACCCATTTTGGTGGTTCTGATGCAAGCATTATAGTTATCAGAGTTATTTGTACTTTGACCTTTGCATATGCTCCCGAATCTTACTACTCCCATTATAATCCATATTTTAATTACTCCTGTAACCAGAGCCCTATTGAGGTCTAACATCCCAATTCTGTCCACTCCTGGAAAAGTACTTCTTCCCTTTCATTTTTAACCCCACCACCTGTAACAGGGGCTGAGATTGTTACTCGGAACACCAGTCTTCAGTGATCACTATATCACACTCTTCTCCGCAGTGTCTGTGTATCGGTGCATAGTCTGGGCAATGGGTACAACAACAATTACACCAACATTTACAGTCATAAAACCAACACATTTAAAACTCCCCCCCCCTTTTCTAATGTCTCTATATTTGCTTTTTCTTATTATCAGCTTCAAGGGGTCAGGTTGAGGCACACTTCTCCACTCAGCTGGAGCTTCTGGTCCTTTTACATGTGTGTAGTGGGTCCAGCCTTTCTCAGCCGTTTAGACTGCTGTTTCAGATTTCAGCAGCACCTGGAAAGGGCTTTCCCACTTTGGAACCAGCTTCTCCTCCTTCCAATTCCAGATCAGAACCCAATCTCCGATCTGGAATTTGTGGACTAGAAACTCCAAGGGAGGTGCTTGTGCCAGCAATCCTTGTTTCCTGAGAAAATCAAAATATCTGGACAGTTCATGCACATATTGCTTCCAACAGTATCCTAGAAACCACATTGGTTGTTGCATTACTACTACATGGGTAGTAAAATCTAACTGAATGCACTGAAATGGCCTAAGGGCTGGAGGCTTCCCTCCCCCTTTTTGTTTCCTGATTGCTTTTATATTTACCTTTTTACATATCAAGCATTTATCCACCACTTGTCTTGCTGCTGTATAAATTCCAATACATCCATAATGCTTTATTCAACATCCATCTCCCATCTAGCAACATTCACCTCCCATTTGCTTCTACTTCCTATTTTCATTACGTCTCTCTTTTCCCCCCTCCAACTACTTTGCTATGAACGAGTGGTTACTTCCTTTCAGCTTTCTGTTTTAAAATTACCCACACTTGATAACAAATCCTAACCACCAAGACTTCCCCACATGACAATTTTAGACAAAAATGCCACTGGCTGCCTTTTCCCCCCCACTTCTGTCTGGGTAAACCTCCCCTCTCCTAGCCATTCCTTTGTATTTGCAAACAAATTGGTTAATAAAGAGCAAACAAAGGAGTGCTTACCAAAAACTTTGCTTGAGTTTGTTTGCATACTAATCTTTATTCAAAACATAGCTCATTTATAATCCCCAAAATTTTCTCAACTTCTTTGTTTTAAAGAAGGGTTGAATTACAATCCCTTCGATTCTCTTAGGTATTATTTTCTATCAGTGTGTCCTGCATACAGACCTAAAAACATAAAAAAAATAAAACAACAACAAAAAGCAACTCCACACAAAAAAATAAACAAACAAGCTTAATAAGATATTCTGAGTTACTGAAATAGTTTTGTATCAAACTCTAGTATCAACTCTTTGCTCTTAATATAAATTTAGTCAAATTCTAATTTAATCAGATTCCATTCAGATGGAAACAAATTTCCATTAAGTAAGTTAAAACATTTACAAATCTAAGCAAAACAATTCAGAATCATTTCTTTTGGTTGGTGGATATATCCTTAGTTCAATAATTATTGCCTCCTCTTCTGAATAAAAATTACAAGTTGAAACTGCAAGAATGGATATTAAGTTTCACATTCACCCCTCCTTCCTCAAACCAGAATTCCAAGCAGAAAAAAAATAGTTAAAAGATCAGACCCCCTTCTTCCTTTCTCTCTCAAGGGGGGGGGGAAGAAAAACAAACAAACACATCTTTCTTCACTCTCTTAGCTGGCCAGACAAACAGAGTGAGAGTATTTCCTTTTGGTAGTTTCTTTTCTCTTGGGATTAGAAACAATTAACAGTCGCATTTACCTCACACACAAAGACTTTGACACACATATACATACCAAGACAAGGAAAAGAGAACAGAAAAGGAAACAAAATTTTTAGTTCTACACATCCTGGTCATTCCCACCACAAATCTCAGCTAACTCAAATTAGGGAAGGCACGAATTTTAAACATACCACGTGATTGCACAGAAAGATAAAGAGAATCACTACTTCTTATTTTTCTTTTAAGTACCTTTATTTAGCCAAATTGGTTTTCCAGCAAAGCCCTGAGCAAAGTCCATTTTCCTAACTTTGCTTTGCTTTGCTTACAGGGCCTAACCAGCTGGTTGCTCAAATCCAATTCATTCATTCACTTATTCCATTCCATTTGCACACAGCCTCTCTCTTTTCCCTAACAAAAGGTCCTGCGCTCTGGCCAAACCCCCATGCTTTCCAGAGTCTGCCACTCAAACAGATCCTTTCTGCGACTAGGAAAGGCCAGACAGAGCAAAATCCAACTGTGATTGGGAAAAGGGTCTTCTCACTCACACACAGAGACATACACACATTTCTCTCATTCCCCTGGGCTTTAAAGTTCAAATTTAGAGGTACTCACCTTCACCTTTCTTCCTAAGCAGCCCTTGAGCTCAAACTCAAAACTCCCTTTACTACCCTGGCTCCACATGGGCAGGGCCTGGGAAACCCATTCACAGACACAGGGGTCTGCTGCCGGCAAATGGGGCTTATATTTCCTTTTCCTGTTTGGAGCTACTCAACTTTCTCATTCTCCCACCATACAAGAAGCACAAATTTACCATAACTTCTTTTGTTAAATTTACCTTAGTGATCAGTTTGTTATATGGTGGTTTCCCTGTTTTCTAACAGTTTTCCTAATGGGCTGTGAGGATCTATTCTGAATTTTTTCTAACCTTTTTCACACACTTCCTCCCCTGGGACCCTCCAGAATACCCATGGTTGATTTACCGCACAATTCTGTCGTCCTTACCAATCTAATGAGACCACGCTTCGCTTCACCAAGCCTCTTTCTCCTTTTACTCAGGAGTCCGCTCTCACTCCACCTTGCCAGTCCTTCAGACCCTTGGGACATTCATACCTAGTGCATGTATGTCTTGCCAGTCTTCCAGAACCCTTGGGGCATCTCACACACACCTCTCAAAGATTTCAGACTCAAACTCTCCTACCCAACCCTCCCTGACCATCTAGGTTTTATTCCTTGGTTTACCCCAAGTTTTACTCACCTAGATCCGTGCACGAAGTTGCCCGGTCCTTGTCCTGGTAATTCTCTGGTCCCCTCTCCTCAGTTCTTACCAATCACTATTTGGTCCGTGGGCCTGGCTCCGTTCCACTTCCTCGACCTGCAACTGCAACCTTGGACCATTGTAATCAATGGGGCATGCCGTCCTCAGTTGACCTCGCCTCCTGAAGATGTAGGAACAGATGCCCAAGGCCCCACATTTGGGCAGCCAATTTGTTGGAAATGGAATTAAAACACCAACAAAATTGGATTGGTAAGAAAAGAGTTTATTCTGCAGAAAATAGAAAAAGCACTTTGCAAAGTGTGGTGGATCTCTAAGAGAAGCTTCAACAGGAAGTTCTAAACCAGAGACCACACTCAAACATTCGAACTCATAACATTATATACACTTCTATTGTGACGCCCCCGTCCCCTCCTTAAGTCCTCCTTGAAAGGACTTAAGAGGGCACAATCTTGTCCGAGACACGTAGCCAGAATACATCATCCCTCCCCCTGGTTACATTGTTTCAAACTTCCCCGCCACCCTTTTGTCTTGTTAAGTGTATCTTATAGCCAAACCTCCTGGAATCTAGTGCCTATGTGCAGGGCTTGGCTAATCCTTTTATTGTTAATCAATTGTAACCGTTTTCTTTTTAAACTTCTTTGTTTCTAACAGTGGGTTGGGCTGAGAAAGAGTGACTGGCGGAAAGTTGCCCATAGCTAAGGCAAGACTTGAACTCACAGTCTGGCAGGGCAAAAATGCATGAGTTAGGATGGAGAGTTCTTTTAGTCTGACATAGTTGCTCAAGCCCATTTTTCAAACTACCAAGATATTTACATTATATAATCTACAAATTCCAAAGATCACTAACTGTAGCATGCTTCAACAATCTTCTCACAAGTTTTTGGAGGACCGATATAGAAAAGTTCCCTATGAGATAAAACTATGCCCCGGCAGATAAGAGGCTATTGAAACTACAGCTCATATCTTCTTACACTGTATTCTCTATGAGGCTCATAAGACTTGCCTAATAAATTCTTACCTGAGAAACTCTGATCTTTTTATGTACAATTGTTATCAGATATGTGATTTAGTTTCCTTGAACATAACCAAAATCTGTTATACAGCCTGTAAAATTAAGACATACCTTGACTAATACCACCAATTCCAACATTCTTATCCTGTTTTGTGTCATTATTTTTAACTATTTCTATCTGGACTATAATAAACTCTATATATGGATATTGTTCTTTTTTCAGTTTTACATATACTTTTCCCATGAAATCCATGCCAATACAGATAATCTTCACTTACTAAGTGCCTTATTCGGGTTTATCATTTAATTGGTTCAAAGTTATGATGGTGTTGAAAAAATAATTTTATATCCAATGCCCACATTTACAACCTTCACCCCATCCCTTTGTCATGTGATCACCATTACAATCAATACATATTTTTCTTGGTTTTTTTCCACCTTGCAGAGTGGAGAAATTAGGGATTACAAAAGAATAAGCAGGGACACTGAAGAATACACAACAAAAGCAATGAGCTGCTGCTGGCAGTTGCAAACACACTATGCAAACAGACATATTCCTATTGCGCACCTACTTACTCCCTTGTAATCCCTTCCACTCCAATCTCTTCACTCTTTGGAGTGGGGGAGGGAGGCCACTTCTGCATTTCTCCTGTGGCTGACTTGTTCCCCCCACCATGCAGAGAGATTGCCAGGTAAGGAATTTTAAGAAAAATCCACTCTTTGCTACTTAAATACACAATTAAATGATAAACCCTTAGTAAAACCAAAGAAAACAATATTTTAACATTTATTTTTTTAGAAACAGTGTTTCAGTTTTACTCTAAATCATTATTACAAATAAAATTAAATAATTCCAAGATTTAGTAGCCTAGTACTGTGATTACTAGAAATTTAACTCCACTAAAATACAATTCTAAGACAAACAATTCATGTAAAACAGGGGTCTTCAAACTTGGCCCTTTTATGACTTGTGGACTTCAACTTCCAGAATTCCTCAGCCAGGCACACTGGCTGAGGAATTCTGAGAGTTGAAGTCCACAAGTCATAAAAGGGCCAAGTTTGAAGACCCCTGATGTAAAAAGAATTTAGCAAAAACATTTACACAAACAGATTTGTATTTATTTTCTTTTGCACACAGATAGCTTATATAAAGTAACATGAAATTACTGCTAGAGTTTGTACAGCAAACACCTATATTAGCACAGCCAATTTGAAGTGAATTTAAATGTGACTGTTTGGAATCACAACAAATTCCGCTTTATTATAAAATGTTTCTTAATGAGCTATAATCCGTAATAGTACTAATATACTGTTAAAAACCTCAAAAGTTGCAATTGATCTATACACTTTTTTAGCTTTTAACTACAATTATTTTATAGATTTTTTTGTAATATTGGATGCATAATTTACCTCCTGATAGTTCAGGATTTATTATGTGAAATACACTAACAATATATCGCTTCTATGCCAACATAAAAAATAACATTATACTTCAAAATATGACATAAAGATGTTTCATGAGATTAAGTAATTGGATTCGGCTATATAGCCTTGTCTATTCTTTACATAAATGATTAGAAAAAGAAATCACTGCACATAATAGAAAGGATAAATTGAAGTATCTTTTTAATCTTCTGTTACGGTAGCATTCCCTATTATTCTTCGCAAATAAGTGTTTCCATCGCAAATCTGTTCTCAAAATGTCGAATTATCCGGCAATTATCTGCTTCACGCTTGTGAATGCCTATAATGGGAGAACGGAAAAAAAATTGTTATTTTATAAAGAACTATGTATATATGTCTTGTATGGAAAAATATTAGCCTCTTAAATAGAAGAAAGAAAGAATACTATACAAAGAAACAGTGACCTCATTCTGAACTAAAATGGCAGGTAATATGCAAGTACAGATAATTCTCATTTGATGATCACTCATTCAGTGACCATTTGAAGTTGTGATGATGCTGAATGAGTGGTGTTTACATCCAGTCCTAAAAGTTTTGGTCATGACAGCACTCCATGGTCATACAATTGCAATTTGGGTACTTTGCAACCAGTTCATACTTATGATAGTCGAAGTGTCCTGCAGTGACATGACCACCATTTGCAACTTTCCCTGCCATCTTGCCACAAGCAAAGTCCATGGTGAAGCCAGTAGAGAAGGTTGTAAGTCGCTTCTGCCAAGGAGCTCTGCTATGAGATCCCAAGGATCTTGTACTCTGTACTATGAGCTCACACTACAGCACACACACACACACATACACACACACAGCTGTACTCAGGCAGCACTGCAATACCTTGACCCCAGTCCACATGTACTCATACAATGCAATAGTACCTCCCATTCTTAACAGTGGGAAAACAGGTGAGTCTAAACAAGAGCATTATGGGTTTTTTTTAAGCACTGTTCTTAACTGGAAGTATATCCAAACTTTTCCATCTGCTACCAGTATCTTCACTGGTTTCTTATTTTAAGTATGTACTGAAATTTGTAGAAATATATTAAGTTTAAGTTTGTATTAAGTTTGTATTATGAAGAGATCCTATCAGTTTCCAGTCACTGAAGAGATTCACTGGATTCTATCAGTGGACCAAAAATGGATGAACTTATATTTGTGTCTAATTAGGAATAAGCCTCATGGAGCACTGTGGAATCTGTTTTCAAGCTGCATAGCACATCCTTCAAACCCTCTTTATCTCATTTAGAGAGAGAGATCAAATAAATAAATTACTTGATTTAAATAATTTAAATAAGTAATCAAATCTTCAGTTTTAATTTCAAATTTCTTCACTGTATTGTCCTAAGTAATACTACTGTAAAATAATGCACTGTTTAAATATACTAGACATGTTCAAACTGCCAATGAAAAACTTCTAAATGTCATTAATGTTGATAAGTTTAACCACATGCTTAATTTATTAAAGTGAATGGTAGTACATAAATTAATTTAGGTTTGCCAAACATTTGTGGGGGAAAATGTACAAAAATGCTTTGATATATGAAAGTAATATTAGTAAAATTAACATATTATCACACCAAATAATTTAGCCACAGGTATACCATCATTTCTTCTTATAACAAAATATATTCATGATTTATCAGGAACCATTTTTTTCCAACCAGAACATTGTGTTAAGCATAGAATTACTGACATTGCAATCTGACATGAAATATTCAAAAGCAAAAAAATCTGTTTTAAAGCTTTGTATAAATTAAATATGCACATCCATAACATTAAAAATTAGGTGATATAAGAGGCATGGTTATTTTTATGGATATTTTTATAATATAGGCAATCCTCATGTAAAATCCACTTATTAGTCACCCTTTGACATTTTAATGGTACTCCTAGTAGCATCCCCACAATCACATGATCACACTTGGTGACTTATAATTATGATGCTGCAACATCCCATGGACACATGATCACCACTTGTGATTATTACTGCTGGCTTCCAATAAGCAGTCAATCAGAAAGACAGCAAGAGGTTGCAAATGGTAATTGCAAGATGCTGCAATCACACAGGATTCACCTAATTCCAACAACTGTTGTCACAGATGCAACTCTTGTCATAGATTAGCATGGTCACATGATGTCATTGCTTATGACTGGATCGCTTAGTGATAGCTTTCCTGATCCCGGTTAGCATTAATAAGAGAAAACTGCATATTTTATTACAATGCAGCAAGATATATACAGACTAAAATATTACTTCTGCATAGTTTCATGTGGAAACCAAATATTAATTATGGCAATCTTTATTATCTCATCTATGTTTATACCATACCTTTCAGTGCTTCCTTACGCTGCAATTTGTAAGTCTCTTTACCACGACAAAGGCGATAAATGAAAAAACCCAGTTGATCCACATTTTCAATGCGGTCAGTGACTATCATGTGTTCATGAATCAAGTATGATTGTGGCAAGTATGTTCCAGCCTACGTAAGTTAATAGAAACATGGAAGAGTTTAAAATAAAAAAATTACATCAATTTTCATTTAACTTTTTATTATTAATTCAATTTATGTGAGTTTATATTTATTAATTTATATCTATAATTTTGCCTCTGAAAAATATGGATCTTAAGAAACAGGAAAAGTAGCCTACTTTTTTTTGAAGTGATCATAGTTTAAATCATGAACTGAGAACCAATAGTCCCCTACACAAGTTAGTGATATTTTCTTTATCAGAAAAGTTTGCTTTAAAAAAATACTTCCAGGATGCCAACTGATTTTTAAAATCTAAATATCATATGGTTAAACTATTCAAGGCCAACATTTTGGGCATGCTGCTGCTGTATGATACTCAGGTGTATAAGAAAATGTGCAACTTGTATTCTTTGCAAGCTATTTCTAAAAACAGCACACACTGGGCTCAGCTCAGGGCTCATGCAAAATTGCAATACTTAAGATCTCAAGCAAGACAAATTCTATGGAGAGATCCTTGTGGTTCATCTTAGCCCCAAAGAATAGATTTGTATTCACTCTGGAAAGGCAAATTGTGGTCTGTCAATACCAACTTTACATTATTTACTTCAGGCCTCATAAAAACCTGAACAGAATTCAAAAAGAGGGTCTGGAACTTAGATCATCTAGTCAGTCAAGGCCCAAATCTCCCATGTCTGTAATAAAATTCTCCCATCTTCCTTGACTTTCCTTGAGTATTTTTTCTTTTTATGATCATGCTTGCTTCACATACCATATTTTCCCGAAAATAAGACCCAACCGGAAAATAAGCCCTAATGCCCCTTTTGGAGCAAAAATTAATATAAGACCCATTCTTATTTTGGGGGAAGCACAATAAGAGGATTTTTTTCTCTGGCCCAAATTATATACCCAACAGGGTGACAATTTAAACATATTTCCATCTATATCTATATCCCATATTTTATTAAAATGTCCACTCTGCACACAATGGCAATTAAAACATATAACTCCAATTATAACAAATTCTTCTCATTATAAGGAGAATACTGCTTTCCTTTAAACTGACCAATTTCTCAATGGCAATGGCAAAATTATTACCTGTAGCTTTAGCCCATGGGAAACAGTTGGTGCCTTCTTCATAGTTTTGGTTACATTTTATGTAATTTATGTATATTCATATTTTAAATGTGTCTGATGTTTGTTAGACCATAAGCAAAGAACAAATTGCACATAAGATCTGATTTTGGTGAGAGGGATTATTTACATAGGATAATAAAAATGTTAATATAAATGAGAGTGGAAGAAGCATCTTAAGAGGTTTAACTTAGTAATTGATAGGTTTTTGCATTTAATTGCCCTGACAATGAAACAAACACCATATCAGAAATTGTACAAAGGAATCAACTAATATAATGCATACCATAATAGGATAAAATTAAATTCACAGTCATTCTAACCAACTGAGACCTAAATTATTTTAGTGAAGATAAGGATTACTGAATACATTAAAAAAAACTCTATTTTAGTCTTACTTTGACGTTGATCAGCAGTTCTAAGAAGTTTTTAGGTGGCATAACAACTGACGTATTCAGAGAAATGACATAGCACTTATTCAGGCTGAGGTCAAGATAAGCTGTAAGTTTCTACAAAGAAATGGCATGAATCTCTTAATAAGGTTAGAATATGTAACATTGTATATAATTTAATATACTATACTGTTCTTTCAAAGACCATAATTTAAATACTCTAGGTATCATTTATTCCATTTTTAGTTATTAAAACATTGTTTTCTGATAACAAGAAAAAAAAAGAATTAGCATAAGGAAAAAATTACAGAATAGTTTCTACCTTCTATGTTCCAGATACATTTAAAACAGTAAATACAGATCAAAATAATACATGATAGGTATATAACAGAATAATAGAATTGGAAGGGACCTTGGAGGTCTTCTAGTAGTCCAATCTCCTGCTCAAGCAAGAGACTCTAGAGGAGACAAATGGCTGACTTCTAGTTATGGAGCACTCACAACTTCAGGAGGCAAAATATTCCACTGATAAATTCTTAATCACTATCAGGAAATTTTTCCTTAGTTCTAGGCTGCTTCTTTCCTCGATTAGTTGCCATTCGTTGCTTCTTGTCCTGCTTTCTGGTGCTTTAGAAAACAGATTGACTTCCCCCCTTTTTTGTGGCAGCCCCTCAAATATTGGAACACTGTTATCATGTCTCCCCTAGACCTTCTTTTCACTAGACATACCCAATTCCTGCAACCATTCTTTGTATGTTTTAACCTCCAGCCCTGTAATCATCGTTACTCTTCTCTGCACTCTTTCCAGGATCTCAACATCTTTTTTATATTAAATAGAATAGAGCTGGAAGGGACCTTGGAGATCTTCTAGTCCAGCCCCCTGCTCAAGCAGGAGAACTTATACCATCTCAGACAAGTGACTGTCTAGCCTCTTTTTAAAAATCTCTAGTGATCTCCACGATTTTGGGGGGCAAGCTATTTCACTGATTAATTGTTCTGTCAGAAAGTTTCTCCTTAATTCCAGGTAGCTTCTCTCTTTGATCAGTTTCCAACCATTGTTTTTTATCCTGCCCTCTGGTGCTTTGGTGAATAACGTGACCCCCTCTTCTTTGTGGCAGCCCCTCAAATACTGGAATACTGCTATCATGTCTCCCCTATTTCCTATTTTCTTTAGACTACCCAAATCCAAGTCCTGCAGCCGTTCTTAATATTTTTGAGTCTCGAGGCCTTTGATCATCTTAGTTGCTCTTCTCTGAATTTTCTCCAAAGTCTCAACATCTTTTTTGTGATATGGTGACAATTCAGTTTCTATCTCTCTGTTAATGCAGCCTAGGATTGCATTGGCTTTTTTGGTGGCTGCAGCACACTGCTGGCTCATATTTGAGCAGTTGTCTACTAGGACTCCAAGATCCCAGTTGCAGTTGCTGCTAGTGAGCCGGTTCCACCTATTCTACATCTGTAGAATTTCTTGCCTAAATGTAAAACCTTACTTTTCACACAATTGAATTTCATTTTGCTAGATAGGGCCTGGTGTTCAAGTCTGTTGTGATCTTTCTGGATCTTGAACCCATCTTCTGGGCTGTTGGCTATTCCTGCCAGCTTGGTGTCATTTGAAAATCTGATTAAGTTCCCCTTCTATTCTGTCATGTAAATCATTTATGAAGATATTGAACAGCATGGGCCTAAGATGGAATCTTGGGGTATCCCACTACTTATTTCCCTCCATATACATGTAGTTCCATTAAGGACTACACATTGAGTGCAGTTTGTCAGCCAGTTACATATCCATCTTGTGGTGATGCTGTCTATCCCACATTTTTCTAACTTATTATGAAGTAGGTTGTGATCTACTGTGTAAATGCCTTACTGAAATTCAAGTATACTACATAGTATACCACAGTATTTTACTGGTCCACTAATTTTATCACTTTGTCAAAGAATGAAATAAGATTTGTTTGGCATGATATGTTTTTGACAAACCATGTGGACTTTTGTTTATAACTTTGCTTGCTTCTAGCAACTTTGTTTGCTTGTAGATCTGTTGCTTGATTATCTTTTCCAAGATCTTCCCAGGTATTGATGGCAGGTTGATTGCTCTGTAGTTTCCTGGATTCACTTTTTTCCTTTTTTTTTTTTTTTGAAGATGAGAACCACACCAGCTTTTCTGGTATTTCCCCAGTGCTTCAGGATTTTTGAAATATATGGTTCAGTGGTTCTGAGATTACATCTGCCAGTCCTTCTGAACTCTGGGATATAACCCATTTGAATTTGAACTCATCCAGGGTGGACAGCTGTTCTCTTGCTATATTCTTACCTATTTTAATTTATATTCCCAGTCTGTCTTTTACAGTTCTATTTTTGGTAGGTTGGGCTATTTTTATATTTTTTAAAATATTATTATATTAAAATTTTAATACAATATATCACAAATAAAAGGTAAGAAAGAGTATACTTTGAAACTCTAAATAGTATTAAATGTTTCAGGCTAGCACTAACCCAGAAAAGGCACATTGCTTTTAGAAGGTTGGATACAAGTAATCTTTTGCTTGTTCTTACATAATTATTTTCTCACTTGTACAATAGGGAATACAGAACTTTGCAGGCTGTAATAGCAATAGTACTCAGACTTATATCCCGCTCCACAGTGCTTTACAGCCCTCTCGAAGCACTTTACAGAGTAAGCATATTGTCCCCAACAATCTGAATCTTCATTTTACCTGCCTTGGAAGGATGGAAGGCTGAGTCAACCTTGAGCCACTGAGACTCGAACTGATGAACTGCTGGCAATTGGCAGTCAGCAGAATTAGCCTGCAATACTGTATTCTAACCATTGCACCACCATGGCTCTTTAACCAATCTATACAGTCCTTTTACTTCCTCCACTCTGGGACCTATTTCGGCTTTCTTTGTGCACCTACCAGTATACATACAAATAGAGCCAAGACACCAGAAATAATCAGTAACTTCAATGGGAGAATAAGTTCCTGTTCCTCCAGTTACAATGTTATCCAGAGTATTATTCCTTACCCTCTGAAAATCATGAACAATATCAGCTGGATCATTGTCGGCAAATTCTGGAACTGGCACACTAATGAACTCAATATCCTCCTCCTGGAGGATCTGGATACTCTCTTCAATTATCTGATAGCGAGGAGCTGAACCAATTGTATCTGAGTCAGTTAGGGTTAAGCCATCCTCAATATACTTAATTCCACAGAAGTAAACATTTTCCTAAAAAACAAAGGTAATAATACACAAGTCAACGCAAACAAAGTAGAGTTCATGAATCTTGTTGCAGCATATATCCACCCCAGCCTCATCACTGTTAAATTTCAAATCTGGAATACTAGCCACTCTGTTTTTAAACTTATTAGATAATATTATAATTTATTCAGAGCAGAATTTACCATCAGAAGATTATTATTTATCATCTAAAAAGAGACTTCACAGTTTAAACTTACAACTTTTTGTACTGGCTAACCATTAACTAATAATTACTACAAAACTTCAGTATAGATTCATACAAATTTCATACATATTTGTTTAATTATTAAATCATCCACAGTTGACTACATTAGTGTTATTCAGATCAACAATCATTCTGGTTTTGGTTCAGACAACACAAAGAACAAAAATTATAAATGAGAACCCATTTTGTGGCTTAACACAAAGGTGAGCATTCTGTAGGCCACAAAAGATAACTAGGGCTTTAAACATAAAAAAAATCAACAAAATATATTTTAAAAAAGATAACTAGGCTTTTTAAGATTGCATCAGCAAAATTTGCCAAAAAAAGCCAAACTTTGGTAATATACATTTTTTTTCAACTTTTAAGAATGAAAGACTAGCTTAGGGGTCGGCAAGCTGAAACACTGAAAGAGCCACTTGGACCCGTTTTCATCACAAAAAAAAAAACAACCTGAGAGCCGCATAATGTGCGCGCACATGTACGCACGTGTGCATGCGCACAGAACAGGGGGCTTGATTAAAGAGTGGAGCCTAAGGCGAGACTTGCACTGGTTCTGCCCCCGTCCAGCTCTGCCCTGGCTTCTCCTCCCCTCGGAAAAGACTGCTCTCCCACCCCACGCTCTCCCTCTCTGGGACTTTCTTCTTTCTGCCTTTTGGCGCAAAGGTTCGCAGGGAGTGGAGGAGGAGGCTGACAGGGAGAAAGAGCTGCTGCGGCAAATCTTCCAAAGCGGCAGCAGATGGCAGCTTGGGCTCGCCTATCTCAGCCGGAGTTGAGGCTTCTGGCTCGCTCGGGGAAGGGTGCTCAGAAAAGAGAAGATGAGAAGTGGAAAGTGGGAGAAAGGACGTCTTCCACCTCTCTGGGGTTCTTTCACTGGGAGGGCAAGGAAGCAGCACTTCTGCTCCGCAGGAGGTGAGAGCAGGCAGCCTCTCCTTCAAGCTTCGCCAAGTGACTCCAGGAGTGAAGCAAAAGAGGGAGGCAGTGGTGGATTAAAATAAAACGTGGGGAGAGGAGGTTGAGGAAACCCAACAGACGCCTCTATCAGAGGGCGAGCAAGAAAGGCAAGATCGGGGAGAGGAAGAAAGCTTTCAGGGCTTGCCCAGCAGGCAGTTGCTCCCTGCTCTCAGAAATAGCCATGGCAGGCAGGGACTGCAAGGAGCAACCAAGATTGGAGGAGCAGAAGTCAACACTGCCAAAGAGGAGGAAGGAAAGGAAAAGTGGGGGGTCTTTAAATAATCATGCCCACTTTTCCCCCTTTTTTTCCAGACATTAACGTGTGTATGGGTGTCAGGTTTGGAAGCCTCCATTTAAGTCTGTGCGTGTGCACAGACATAGGCTGACTCCTCATCTCCTGCCCTTGCTGCATTTCCTGTGGAGACACATTTGCATCTCTGTCACTCTAAGCCATCCCACAGCTCGATCCTTGGAGCTGTTTCAATCGGTCAAGCATCCCCATGGAAGTCAATGGACAGCATGACTGAGATAGGCAGCGGCCCCAACTCTGGTCTGGGGAAACAATAACAGAGCGGCGCTGCCTATCTCAGTCACGTGGAAGAACAGCCATGTAAAGAGCATCAGATGGTGCCGCCGCTGCCAGTGGAGATGAGCAGACTCATGGAGACGCATGGCTGGCTCGGCTGCCCAGGGACGGCCCAGGGAGCGATGCCCCTGCCGGGACTGCTGCCCGGGGGGCTGCAGAAGGAAGAAGGGGAGGAGGGCGAGGAAGCTGCCACCGGGACTCCGCGCTGCCCGGCCTCGCCCTCCGCCCATCTGATGTAGCCATGGCAGTGGTTGATGCCGCGCGGGCCACTGGCCCTGGCTGTAATGCTGCGGCTACTCTGCTTGACCAATCCCTCCGCCAGCCCGTCTGCTCCCCCTCGGGCATCCCTCTTGCCCCGGCACACGCCTGAGCTGCCCGGGGACAGCAGGAGGAAGAAGGGGAGGAGGAGGGTGAGAAAGCCGCTGCCACCGCCACAACCAGGACTCCACGCTGCCTGGCCTTGTCCCCCGCCCATCCGATGTAACCGTGGCAGGGGCTGGTGCCGCGCAGGCTGCCGGCCCTGGCCGCAATGCTGCGGCTGCTCTGCTTGACCAGCCCCTCCACCGGCCCGGCTGCTCCCCCTCAGGCATCCCTTTTGCCCCGGCACCCGCCTGAGCCGCCCAGGGGCCAGCAGGAGGAGGAAGGGGAGGAGGAAGAGGGTGAGAAAGCTGCTGCCGCCGCCTCAACCAAGACTCTGTGCTGCCTGGCCTCGTCCTTCGCCCATCCGATGTAGCCGCAGTGGGGGCTGGTGCTGTGCGGGCTGCCGGCACTGGCCGCAATGCTGTGGCTGCTCTGCCTGACCGGCCCTGCCAGCCCCTACGCCGGCCCAGCTGGCCCCCCGGGTGTCCCTCTTGCCCTGGCACTCGCCCGAGCTGCCCTTGGGACAGCAGGAGGAAGAATGGGGGGAGGAGGAGGAGGAGGGCAAGGAAGCCAGCGGCGGCACCGAGCCCCAGGAGGAGGCTCTCCTCTCCTACCATTGCTGCATCTCCCTCTTCTTTCCCGGCAGCTGTGATTCTGGCATGCCTGCCCGGCCAGCGGGGCCAACGGTCACGCTGACTGGGGATCGCAGGGGCTGCTCTCCTTTGGGCCGCGGCTTGCGGGAGGGCTGGCCCACTCAGCGGAGCCTCTGGCGGGCTGTTCCCAGCGGGGATCCCGGGGCTTCCCCGCACAGCTCCATGGCCATGTGCGCCTCGAACAGGGCCAGCCCGGGAAAGGGACTTCCTGGCCGTGCTTCTCCCAGGGGGTGGTGCACCCGGGTGCAGGGCCAATCAGGAGCCCTGCGAGGGGGAAGTCCGCATAAGACAGAGAGAGAGAAGGGAAGTGCAAGTGCCTCTCTGTCTCTCTCTCTGCAAATGGCGGAGCAGGCTCCGGAGCCGCAGGTGATGGCTCAAAGAGCCACATGCGGCTCCGGAGCCACGGGTTGCCGACCCGTAGACTAGCTATTTCCATGATAGTATCAACTATTCAGAACATCTGCTGGCAAACAAGATAAAAACTACCAAGCCCCTTCAGAAATCACCCAGGCCTCTGGGTCAGACAATTTTATATCCATCAATCTAAAATCAACCAGAGAATGACCAGTTGTTTATTTGAAATTCTAGAGAGCAGCAGCTGGAAATGCTGGTTGCCTTGGTAGACATAGAAATAATATTCTGAAGTTCAAGTCAACCACTAGCAATGATTACATAGCCAACAGAATGAGATTAAGCTGGGAATGGACAATTTAATTTAATCAACCAACATTCGTCAGCAAGTCATATATATGCACTTTATTATGGTGACTGTTGCCTTTCTTTTGCTATTGCACAAGCAAACTATCAGCAAAATGAATTACACTTTATTTTTAGCTCTAGATTGTGTATGAAAACACAGAGAAGGGGCGTTGTCTTACCTGAATGCCTTTTCTCAGCATGGAAATGGAGAATCCACCAATGGGTTTAGACTGTGTTCCAATCAGATCAAGTCAGCCAAAGTTGCAACGCCTGTCCTGGACTAGGGTGTCCCAGTCTCAAAGCGGGCAAAGCCATCAATTGATCGCAAGACATGTTGGCTCATGAATCTAACCCTAGGCCTAAAAAACCTGCGAGGGTGGGAGTGGATTCTCCATCTCCGTGCTGAGAAAAGGCTGAAAAGCAGGAGCCCTGGCAAATATTTCCTAATAATAAGCTTAAATCCAAATGTATTTAGAGTTTATGTTGTATTGGAGTTAATTTTCTCAAATTTTAAAATATTAAAAATGAATTTTATATTAACACTTAAGCTGATAAACCAGGTTGGACAAATCCTAGTAGGTTAACAACAAAAACATTCAAAGCTTGGTCATATACATATTTCCAGCCTACCTGAATTTGAAAATATTTGTACAGATAGGCACCGCCAAGGATGACAACAGCAAGCATAAAAGCTAATCCAAAACACATACACCAGCACCAAGTTCTTCTTTGTCCAAGAGGCACCACTTCTGCTGGATCCTAGGAAGTCACACACAAAAAAGTAATCAATAGTGAGGTTTATCCAGCTACTACATCATGTAGTCACCACTTGTGTCTGCTATGTGAACTGGCTTCCTTTCTTATCTTCTTTTCCACACTGTGCAGCCATCAAATCTTCCACAGAATCCCCAAACTACCTTCTGGAGTGGCAGGTGGAATTCTAATGCAGAAGCTATTCCATCAGGAAAAAGAGGTGTCACTTATTTCTCCACAGGCCACAAATCTAATTATTTTTAGGCAGTTTTTAATTATTAAACAGAATTTGACTATAAAGTTTTCAGGCAGTATGAAATATGAAGGTTTACCTGTTCCAGACATACACACTCAATGTGCAGATAACTACAATGGCTGAGATACTCAAATTATGTGGGGAGGAAACTGGGAGCACTCTAGATAATGGATTATACTGTACAGATCGATAAATCTCAGACAGAATGAAAGCATTTTAAAATGTATCAGATTATGTTAGATAACATCTTCAGGTCAAGGTCAGCTCCTGATACTGTAGATCAGCGGTTCTCAACCTATGGGTCGCGACCCCATTTGGGGTCGATCGACCATTTCACGGGGGTCACCAAGCAAGGCTGTCTGCCATTTTTTCCCCTTTTCCAGCAGGTGCCTTACCTCCCTTGGGCTGGGCCAGCTGGTGGCCCAGCCGGTGGTCGGCCTGCTCCGTCTCTGCCGCTTGCCAGCTACGCCTTGGCCAGTGCAGGGGGCGGCAACACGCATGCGCGGCGCTCCCGGGCAGGGAAAGTCCTCGACTTACGACCGGTTGGGTAGTCCTCGACTTACACCAGTTTAGTCCTCAACTTACGACCGGTTTAGTCCTCGACTTACGACCGGTTGAGGGTCGCGGCATTAAAAAGGTTGAGAACCACTGATCCAAAGGAACATTATAGGTTAGAATGTTGTACAGTATAAACCCAACACACCTGGTTAGTTTATGGTTCAATGTACTGCATACATCCAGAAAATGTATTATATAACAGGTGTGAACTGAAAAGAAATGAAGTCTAAAATCACAATCTTCAGACAAGTAAGCCGTGCCTGAGTCAGTTTGGATGTCTGGCAACTAGACAAGTGCACACAATTTTCATTAGAGTTTTACTTTTGCCTTCTTCCTCTGGCTCAGGGAGAGTGACTGGAAAAGATTACATAGCAAGCTTCTGCTTTAAGGCAGGACAGGAACTCAGTTTCCTTTGGCAGAGTTAGATAATATCCAAAGGATCCAAAATTTAAAAAATATTTTCCAAAATTACTGGTTGGAATCTCATTAGATTTCATAAAAAAGGAAAGTAAATCTGAAATTAACTGCTATTGCCCTTTTCATGGGGTCTGCATCCAGTATCAAAATAATAATCTACTTTTTTTTCCTAAATTCCAGGTTAATCTAGTCTTGGAGTTCCCTGTGGTCTCTCATCCAAGTACTAATGAAGCCCAACTCTATTTAGGTTCAGAGCCCAAGCAAAATCCAGATAGTATTATGCAAAAGGAAAAGGAAACGCCTTAAAAAATACAAGGCCGACCCGGTCCTGCATAACTGAGATAAAATATGTAAATATAAAGAGAGAGCCGCAATGTTTAAAGGCTGCTCACGCGTCAGCCATTTTAGATTCATAAACTGATCTGCCAAAAAATTGAGGTAATATCTCGCTCTTTCCCGTGGTCGCGCTCCGAGGCAATTCTCCGACCTAACGCACATTGAAAACCCGTAAGAAATACATCCACTTCCAAAGCCCCAGCCGGCTTAAAACTACTTCCGGAGCCTCACTAGGCCCTATATATGACCTCTTTGTTTCGACCCCATCTTGCTCCCCCCGGACGCTCATACGTTCCCCTTCCAAACTCGGCGCTGCGCTTCCTCACTGCTCTTTTAGGCCGCAGCTTGCAAAATGAGCTGCTGCTCAGCGCCCGGGAGAACCGCTCTCGTTTATGCTGCTGGCCCTGCTGGGCTCGGCAGAAGCATTTGCTGGACCAGATGTGGCTGCCTCCTCACCTTTGTGTCTGGGGACAAGATGAGCACTTGATTGCTGCAGCTGTTTTTTTCATTCTGCCCCCTTTCCTCCTCCTCCTCCTCCTCCTCCTCCTTGGCTGAGTCTTTCTGTGCCAAGGCCGAGTTAAACGAGACCTTCACCATGGCTGCAGAAGCTCTCGGCTAAGGCTTCAGCAGGGAAGCAAAGCGACAAGCAGCTGCGGCGAAGGTGGCCGATCGGGCCTCCGCTTCGTTCTCGCCGAGTCCCAGGGGCAGAGCGGGGCAGGTTCTGCGCGGCTTCCCTCCTCTTCCTCTGTCGCCCTCAGGTGCCGAGCATACCCGACCGAGCAAGGGAAGCCGAGAGGCAGGGGAAGGATTCGGGAGGGCGGGAGCCAGCCAGCCAACTCAGCTTCGACGGCCGGATCGAGCAGCCAACCCTCCGCCGCAGGGCAAGCGGGAACCAGACTCGACGGACCAGAAGTCGGAGCTGCCACGCAGGAAACCGAAAGCTCCGGCAGAAAGCGAGCCTTCTGTGGAAGTTTGCCCGAGGCACAAAAACTTGGCCGCAACTACTCAGGTTCACCTTCACTCCGGTTGCACCTAAAATGCTAATTTAAGAGCACGGGAGCTAGATTGTTGCTGTCTGAAACTGGGTGAATTCAGCTAGCTTAACTCGGAAATTGCTCATAAAGTTCACATGGTTCCGACCATACTCAGTTCTATGTAATCCTGAGCTACTAGAGCAAATAAGGCAACCATGCGTTGTTACATCAGGAATCATAACACGCCTCGTAAATTCATTCACCTGAAACCTTTCATTTTACTCCCAGTCATACACAGGTGCATACCCCTCCTCCAGGATTCTAATGCAGACATTTCTACTAACTATAGGAAGCCATGGCTCAAGGCAGTTTCTGCTATTAAAGATGTGCTCATCTTTGACTAAATAACTGAGCTGTAAATTAAAGACTCCAGCCAGTTAGCTCAACTCCTGGTAAAGACAAACATGTAATCTTCGTTTCCCTCTGTAGATTTTTTTCCTTTTTTCTTATTCTACCTGGACAAATTCCCAGTTTTCTTTGTAAAGTTTTTCAGAAGTAGTTTGCCACTGCCTACTTCCTAGTAGGGTGGAGAGAAAGTGACTGGCCCAAGCTAAGGGCTCCTGGTTTCTAGCTTTGATGCCTTAACCACTATCATAAACTGGCTCTCTAGGTTTAGCTTACCTTTCTATAATTCTCCGTGGCCTCCATCTACCTGCTAATCAGGTTTGATCCTGTTTAATTTTACAAGAACAGTTAAGGGTGCTTCATTCGGGTTATCAGTTTATGGCCGAATGCACTGTGCAAATCCAGTAAATCGTGATTACTAAGGGGTACATTGCAAAGTCAGAGCCAGTCTCTTAATTTTAAAGTGAAGTTTGGCGTTTTTGTGCCTATTAGTATTATTTTGTGTTTGTTTACCCTAAACTGCATCCACCACCATTGTTTGATCAGTAGATTTTTATAGTCGGCTTTTTTATTCCCAGTGGAGATTTTAAGACGGATTCTGTCGTTTTAAAAAGTTCTATTTTTAATCGAGATAATAATTATCCATCTTGAACGTCTCTTCTACCAGATTACCAGTTGCCATCGGCAGTTGAGCCTTGAGGAACCTGCCAAGAGCCTCTACCACGCGGATTGGCTGTTCGACCGGCTTGCGGAGGAAGGCGGAGTTAAATCCAGTGCAATTCTGCAGGATCCGGTTATGGAGAAGCCGCTTCGGCCGGGGGTCGGAGTTGGGGTGGTGATAACGAGCCTTAGGCACCCTGGTTGCGTCCTAGTAGGCAAGCGGAGAAGTGTCGTCGGGAGGGGTTTCTTCCAGCTTCCTGGAGGGCACTTAGAGTTTGGGTGAGCTGGAGGCATGCCTCGTGACAGTGCTGCGCGGCCCGTTCCTCTTGCGCTCGTGGACCTGGCGGAGAGGCTTTGGCGGCTTTTATTCTGGAATGAAATAGGCGTTTGTCGTACTCGGATACTTTACGATGTGTGGACTCCAATTTCCGGAATCCCAACATTCCGGGAATAGAAGTCCACACTTTTAATGCTGCCGTCTTTGAAAAATGCCGGGTTAAATAGATGGGATGCCTTCTGAATGAACGCTCAATTTTAATTTTAAAAAGTTGTAAGCCTCATAGACCCAGGAGAAAAAGGGAATTAATAAGAAAGGAGTCAGTCGTTCTTGATATCAGTAACAGAATAACAGTTGAAAGGGACCTTGGAGGTCTTCTAGTCTAACACCCTGCTCAAGCAGGAAATAGTTTTAATAATGTGGAGTGTTATTTTTAAAAAAACTTTTGTCAGAAGTTTTTCCTTGGTTCGGGTCTCCAGCTGGGAAGCAGACCTTCAGCGCAGGTGGAAGAAATGACAGGAAACGAAGCAAGCTGCCAGAAAGTAGGTTTATTTACAGAAACCAGACACCATACAATACAGCGGAGGTTCCTGGACTAGCTAGTAGTTTCCCAAGGTGCGGGCACTTGTTCTTATACCCCTCAAGTTATTGAAATTATGATTTGACTTCTGAAAGGATTTTTGTTAAATTAATTCTATCTGGTTTGTGTCTGCTTTGGCCAGTATTGATTAATGCTGCCTTCAAGAAGGACCCTTTGTTCATGTAAATATGTTCCTATATGGTTCATGTCTCGTTTTTGTTAGTGTTACAAAAAACCTATTGAGATTGATGGGTCTTAATTGTTTCATAGAGACAGGAGTCCGGGTTTTCTCTTTCTCCGGAATGTTTTTCTTTGTCTTGGCAGTTTGCTCAGAATAGCTCAGGGGAGGGGGAATGAGGATGAGAGACAGGAAAAACTTCATCTTTTTAAATTCGGTTTGACTTGTCCTTTAAATGGTTCTTTTCCTGAGGTGTACCCCCTCCTTCCTGGGTTCATTTACATTCCAGATAGCAGTTTTAAGGGTCTGGGTTTCCTTTGTGATATTTAATTATAAGATTCCTTTTATTTTAGAAGGAAATTACTCACTTATTTTGGGGTCTGGGTTAATTCTAAGGTGTTCTTTCTTAGCGCCAATGATTAGTCATCTCTCAATTTTATTGGTGGTAAAGCTACTAGATTTTGGTTGTGAAACATTAAATGACCAAGAGTGGTAACAATAGATATAGTAGACTAACATTTGCTTTTCTTTTTTGTAGCCCAAATCTAGTATTGCTGGTTATGAGGGATTTTGCTACTAATCTTATTGCAGCACAGAATTGAGGGGAAAGGAAGGAAAGGCTTTGCTTTACTTTCTAGTGGCAGTAATAGTAACAAAATAACAAAGTTGAAAGAGACCTTGGAGGTCTTCTAGTCAACCCCCTGCTCAAGGAGGAGATCCTGTACCATTCTGGACAAGTGGCTGTCCAATCCCTTCTTAAACATCTCCAATGATGAAGCACCCACAACTTCAGGAGGCAGGCCATTCCACTGATTAATTATTCTCACTGACAGGAAATTTCTCCTTAATTCTAGATGGATCTCTCTTTGATAAATTTCCATCCCTTACTTCTTGTCCTGTCATTACGTGCTTTGGAGAATTGGTTCATCCTCTCCTCTCTGTGACAGCCCCTCAAATATTGGAAGACTACTATCAAGCCACCCCAGTCCTTCTCTGCATTAGGCTAAACATACCCAGCTCCTGCAACCATTCATTGTGTTTCATCCTTCAGTCCCCTTATCATCTTTGTACTCTTCTCTGCACTCTTTCATCTTTTTTGTATCGTGATCAAAACTGAATGTATTATTTCAAGTGTGGTTTTACTAATGTAGCATAAAGCAGTACCACCACTTCATTTGATCTTGATATTATCCCTTGCTTAATGCAGCCTAGGATTGTATTGGCTTTTTTCAGCAGCTGCAGCACCCTGTTGGCTCATACTTAAATGTTTATCTACTAGGACACCTAGATCACCCTCACAATTACTGCTGTTAAACCAGGTATCACTTGTTCTATACAAATGCATTTGGTTTTTCTTGCCTAAATGTAAAACCTTATTTTTCTTATCTCCAAATTACATTTTATTGTATAAGGCCAAGTGTACATGTCTGTCAAGATTCTTCTGGACAGACGTGCACATTTTATGGCCCGCAGCTGATTTTGTCCAACCCATGATGGCAGGGCGTGTGGCAGCAGCCCCATTGATTCAGCTCTCCACAACAGTCCCAGTTTTGCCTGTGACCCCTTGGGAAAAGTAATTGCCTACCCTGTTCTAAAGTGTTGGTTATTTCCTCCCACATACTTGTTGTCATCTGCAAATTCAGTGAATTCCCCTTCTATCCCCTCATCTAAACATTTATGAAGACAGTAAAGAGTACTGGGCCTAAGACAGAACTTTGGGTGCTATCCAGGGAATGGCTGAGGGAACGCAGGAGGCAGCACCTGTGGCTGAGGGAGGAGAGCCAGCTGAGGCAGCAGGGCCAATACCTGATGTAGGAGCTGGGGATGCTCAGCCTGTGGTGCGGCCCAAGGCGCAGCCTGCAGCTCCAGTGAGTGAGCCCCAGGACGTAAGGTGGCACAGCTCTGCACTCACCAACCCAGATGCCGGCCACACACATAAACCAGGTGCCGAAGAGCCTCTGATGGAGTGGTGGGAGAGGCGTCTCATGGACGAAGATGATGGGGGTTGGAGCTATTCCACGGCACCCGGACATCACACCATGGACATCCTGAGGGACAAGCTCGGTGAGACCGGGTTCCAGGATCCCCCTCATGGTCAAGATGGGAAGCGGCCGGTGAGATGGCTTTGTGATCCTGGACGGAGACACAGCCACCCGTCGGGACCATCCCAGTTCCGTCTGGCCAGCCCGCTGTTCAGGGTAGCTCCTGGGCGTGTGCCTGGTACTCCCAAGATGGGGTATACCGACAGAACAATCACGGCCTGAGTGGGACGGCAGGCCTTTGATGGACCCAGGTGGAGCCCCCACCAGGAGGACGGCTAGGCCAAGTGGTTCCTTGGTCCGGCAGACGGCAGGGCACGGGGACCAGTGCTTTCCACCTATGGCTGACACTCTACAGGGCACGGGTTAGTCTTTGGGGCCATGGAGTCCAAGGGAGGCTTGGGGTCTGCCACCAATACCAGCAACATTCGATGGGAACCCGGACCAGTTGGCGATGTTCCTCAGCCAGGTTATAAGCCATCTGGACTGATACGCTCGCTTCTATCCATCTCAGTGGGCAATGGTGATGGCGATAATGGCAGGATTACAGGGCAAAGTAGCAGAATGGGGGCGGATCTGTACAGTGACCATGCCAGGGAACTGGCGATGCTGGTCTGTCCCCTGGAGGTTCTGCGATCCCGGTTTGAGGACGTCTCCCGGGTCCAGTGGGTCGAGGCAAAGATACTGGTGCTAAATCAGCGAGGCCGGTCTGCAGCAGAGTACATCTGTGAATTCCAGTGGGTGGCTGGTAGACTGCGCTCCTGGCCACAACGTCTACTGGTTTACCAGTTTCAAGCAGGCCTGGACTGAGATCTGCGCCAGGTATGTGTTTTTCATGGTGTCCTGAGCTGACTCCAGGACTGGTTCTGTGTAGTGGTGGACTTGGATGCAGGCCTGCAAGAGTTCCGCCCAAAGGGAGAGGTCCCATTAGTACCACATAGGGTCATAGAGAAGCCGAAGGATAAAGGACGGAGGCCCCAGGCTTTGGGCTCGGGTTCCTCTGGGCCCATTCTCCGGGCGTTGTTCAGGTGTATCTGGTGCAACCAGCCAGGACATTGGGCAGCGGAGTATCCAGTCCCTGTTCCATGGGGGAACCTAATGACCTCTGGGAAGGCCGGTCCCACATCCAAGAAGGGCCCAGAGAAGCTGAGGGCAGCGCATCAGACAGAAGGGATCACTCCTCGACGGACAGCCCCGGAGGAGGAGGAGGCAACGGCAGCCATCAGATACTAGTTGGTGACATATGATAGCGAGGACAAGCCATCAGAAGACCCTATGGTGAGTGAACCAATACGACCATTCGTCATCCCTATTGTACTGACGAGTCCACAGACAGGCCATCGGGAGGAATACAGGGCCCTGATTGATTCCGGCTGCACCCATTGCCTGATCAGTAAGGGCATGGTGGCTGAGGCAGGGATCAAAATGAGGCAACTGGCCAACCCAATCTGGTTTGTGCAGGTGAATGGGTCCCTCCTGGGGGGGGGCTCTGGCTACCTTCATAACAGAGCCTGTCAGGCTAGAGATGGGGGCCCATTGAGAGATCCTCCGCTTCATCATGGTCCCTTCCATGACCGAGGCCGTTATCCTAGGACTGACGTGGCTGGACAAGTGGGGTCCAACAATTTGGTGGGAAGGTGGATACCAAAAACTACGGATTGGAATTGATCCCCGGCCGCCAGACCAGGAACTGGTAAAAGGGGGTGGAGAAGGGAGTAGGGAGGCAAAGCCACGCCAAGAGAGCACAAGGGGAGAAACCCACTTCCCGGGGGTATATGCCGGCCTTGCCAAGTGTTCAGCGAGCGAGAGTGCGACGTCCTACCTCCCCACTAACCAACCGACACTGCGATCGATATTGTGCCAGGCGCCAAACTGCCCAAACCCCGGTTGTACGCAATGACGCCCAAGGAGATGGAGGAGTTGCGGTGGTATATTGACCAGAATCTAGCAAGGGGCTTCATCCAGCCGGCCCGATTGCAGTTTGCAGATCACAGCTCCAGTACTGTTTAAGGAAAAGAAGGATGGCATCCTGCGCTTGTGTGTAGACTTCCGTGGCATCAACGGGGTTTGTGTGGAAAACATGTACCCCCTACCACTAACGAAAGACCTGTTGGCCCATTTAGCAAAGGGTAAGGTGTTCACCAAGCTGGACTTACGGGAGGCGTATTACAGGGTCCATATCAAGCAAGGGAATGAGTGGAAGACGGCGTTCAACTGCCCGCTTCATAGCTACCAGTTCCGGGTGATTCTGTTTGGCCTACAGAGAGCCCCTATAGTATTTATGCAGCTCATCAATGAGGTATTGCATGAACACCTTTACCGTGGGGTGCTCGTGTATTTGGCGACATCTTAATCTATATCTCCAACATGGAGGAACACATCTGTCTGGTGTGACAGGTGCTGGTGAAACTGGTGAAGGCAAACCTGTTCATGAAGCTCTCCAAGTGCGACTTCTACCAAACACAGCTGGACTATCTGGGATACTGGATATCGGGGGTAGGAGTGGAAATGGACCCTAATAAGGTCAAGGCTGTACTGGAGTGGCAGGCACCTCGGACCCATCAGCTACAGAGTTTCTTGGGGTTCACCAACTTCTATCAGCAGTTCATCCCTCATTTGCTGTGGTGGCCCTACCCCTGACAGACCTGCTCCACACACGACAGACTGCAACTAAGCCATGCCCGGGTCAGCCACTGGCAGGGACCATGGCATGTCAGAAGGCCTTTGAGGACCTAAAGGCCCTGATCACAAGGAAGCCGGTTTTGATCCACGCAAACCCTGACCTGCCGTTTGTGGTGCAGGCCAATGCCAGTGATGT